AGAGAGAAATATGATATAAACTTTGTTAACACGATTCAAAAACTTATTACTAATTTCCCAGAAAATACAATTACAGATGAAGGAATACCATTTTGGCATGCACCAAAAAGATTCCCACATATTTATCCATTTAATATTGATAATCAATATGCAAAAGAATTTATTATTTCAGCATCACTTCTTCGAGCAGAAATATATGGGATTAAAAATGAATTGAGTAAAGAAGAAATTATTAAATATGCATATTCATTAAAAGAATATACAAGTGAAGAAAAGAAAACAGAAGAACCAGAAGCTGAAATTAAACAACTTAGTGAAGAAATAAAAGGAAAAGAAATTCCAAAAGTTAATCCAATAGAATTTGAAAAGGATGATGATAATAATCATCATATTGAATTTATAACAGCATGTAGTAATTTAAGAGCAGAGAATTATTGTATTAAACCAGCAGATTTCTTAAAAACAAAGTTAATTGCAGGAAAAATTATACCAGCAATGATTACTACTACAGCTGTAGTATCTGGATTACAATGTATTGAATTATTGAAGGTTATTGAAAAGAAACCATTAGAAGCATATCATTGTTCATTCTTAAATTTAGCTATAGGATATATGGATGCTACTGAACCAGAAGCAGTGAAAAAGACAAAAATTTGTGATGGACTTGAAGTATCTATTTGGGATAAATTAGAATTTGATGGAAACTGTACTATAGAACAATTCTGTCAAGAAATTTCAAAAAGATATCCAATTGAAGTTGATTCAATTACTGCATGCGGTGCATTATTCTATTGTTCATATCTTCCTAGTGGAATTAAACGAAGTAAACAAACATTTAAAGAGATTTATAAAGATATAAAACATGAAGAATATAAAAACAATACAATGACAATTGCCATATCAGTTTCAAGTGAAAAGGAACAACTTCCAGACAATTTAGAATTTCCTGATATTATATTGAATTTCTAAATGAATTTTAAAAATAACAAAAAAATATTTTTATATATATTTTTTATTGTTATTCTTTTAATTTAAAAAAAATAAAATAAAATTCAATACAATGAGAATTAATAAATTAAAAAGTACAACTTATAATGAAGGGTTTGTTGGAGAAGGAAGACAATCTATTTGAGGATTTGATGAATCATTGGGTATGTCTTTGAATGGAGTAATTTCAGTTATATTATCAAATGAGAATTTAAAATTTTGATTAATTTCTTTTAATAAAGACTCAGGAGAACTATAATGTCTTGTTACACGTATATTATGGTTGTAACCAACATTTTCAACTTTTACTGAAATGAATTGATGTGTTTGCATAAAGATTGAACTAAAAAGTTCTTGAAAAAGAAAGAGATAAAAATATAAATTTAAATCATATTTTTGAATTTTTCATTAAAAATAATAATTTTTAAAAAAAAATATGAGTTGGAGTTATTCCTTTTTAGTTCTTTATTATTTGAAAAGTTATTTTTAAATTAAAAATTAGTTTTATTGTGATTTATCAGTTGTTTTTTAATAGAAATTGTTTTATTCTTTTGTTGAAAATGTTTGTGAAAGTAAAAGTTCTTTCACTGAAAATGATTCTCACTTGATAACTTAACCCCATTTAATGTTTTGTCAAATGTTATCCTTTAAAGTTATTGGTTTTGGTACTATTTCATCGAACAAAATAGAAATATTTCAGATACTAATTAAATGTTTTCCTAAAAAAAATGCTAGTCTGTCTAAGCGTTTATTTTTTATATTAATATGAATTATACTCTCTACTATCATAAGTTATTTATTAGCTTCTTGCTAATAACAATGGTTAGCTACAAAACAACAAAAAAGCGACTTAGTACAATAAAATCGGAATAAACTCTTCTAGATTTTTTTGTAAGTAAAAAATAGTATCATCAATTACTAAATAGAATCAAAAAAAAAAAACAATCAATGACATATTAGAATTTTATTTTATAACATAAATTGTATAGATAAGGATTATTTTAATTATTTATTTTATTTTTTATTAAAAAAAGTAAGTAATTTTAATTAAAATTGAATCAATTACACTTTTTTTGGATGATAAATTCATTTTAGAAATTGGATTAGTATTAACAAGTGAAGTATATATTTTATTTTTTAAATGTATTAGTTTTTAAATGACTTATTATAATCAAATTCACAAAAGGTTATGAAAAGAATAAATTTAAAACATCCAAGAACTGATAATCTAACATTTTTAATCAATAATATTCAACGAAACTACTACAGTATTAGTATTAATAATATACTAATATGAAGCGTTAATGTTAAAAAAGAAGAAAAGTACTAACATGAAAATACTTTTGTATTTTAAAGTAGAATTCGTTATATATAACAGAAATACTCTTTATAAAGAATAATAAAAATACAATGAAGGAAAATAATAAACAGAAAAACAGAATGAATAGTATAAGAATAATAAAGAAAATTAATAAAAACTACCAAAAAAGTTAGTATAGATAACACAAAATAAGATAAAAAGAAATAAAAATCATAAAGAAAATAAAAACTTTTAAATTGTCATAAATTGAATGGAAGATCCATATATCTGTATTATTACGAATTGGCTTAATTATACATTAAAGTCATGTTATAAAAAAAAGATTACTTATGCTTCATTTAAAGATGGGGTGTTGTTACAAATTTTATTTAATAAACTTAATAATAATATTTCTAATCCATTAAAATTACCACAATCATCTGCAGATAAAATAAATTATAACCAACAAATTATTAACATTGTTTATGGTGGGGTTAATAAAATATCAGCAGAAAAATTTACTTTAGGAGCACCAGAAGCCGTCACTCCTTTACTCATAAAAATGTTTTTGAAATATCAACTGAAATGCTCTTCAATTCAAGAAGCTATAGATAAAATACTTAATATGGTACAAAGTGTTGTAGGAAAAGAAGTAACAGACCTCAGTCTATCCTGGGTAGATGGAACACTTTTTAATCAATTTATTACTGGGCTTCAACCAGCAACAAATAATTCATTTAAGAACCTTAATAAATTAACTTCAGTAGAATTGATACAACAATGTCTTGAATATGCAGAGGATACATTTAATGTTCCTCCTTTAATAACTGCAGAAGATATGTGTAATTTACAAGAACAATTTTCTTTAGTAGTTTATTTCTCATATTTCATGAATTATGCAAAGAAAGTACCTCGTAAGCGCGTTATAATTATGGATGAAGCAAAGAGTAATAAAATAAAAAAAATTATTGACAGTCCTGAACCAGAATTAGACCTTAAAATAAGTAGTTATGTTGCCATAGAAGGACAACTAAAAAAAGAAGCTGAACCGATAGTTGAAGAAATAATAGAAGACAACCCTTATACTCTTTCTGTTCAAATCAACATTCTTAAAAATTTTAATATCTTTGATCAAAATCCTAGAAAAGAAGAAGACGCTGATTCATGGAGACGTATTAACAAATTTAGTTATTGGATAGAACCGATAATGTCTAATTTCCTTTATGAAAGTCCTATGATTCTTTATTCTCCACAACAACGAACGGAAGAAGAACGTAAGAGGATATTAGTAACAGATAAAACTCGTCCAGAAACATTTTTTAAATTAGCTTCATGTTATTTTCAAGGTATTCTAGTTGAAAAAAATGAAAAATTAGCTTATAAACTCTTTAAATATGGAGCACGCTATGGAGATGTTAACTCAATTAACAATATTGGTTTAATGAAAGAAAGAGGAATAGGATGTGTTCAAGACAAATACATTGCAAGAGAAAAGTATGTAGAAGCAATGACCAAAGGATGTGTTATTGCTTGCAATAATCTTGCTGTGCTACAAATGATTGAAGGTAATGTTGAAAAAGCCATCAGTAATTGGAAATTTGCAATAACAAAAAATGTTGTTGCTGCATGTAATAACTTAGGTGTTGCTCTAATTCAAAGTGATCCTAATAAAGCTGTTAACTTATTAATGGAAGGATATAATTGTGATGATAAATATGCAACCTATAATTTAGGTGTAATAGCCTTAAAGGGGATTTCTGGGTTTGTACCACAGAACCTTTGTGTTGCTGGTGCATTATTCCAAAATAGTATAAACCTTCCCTATTCAAGGTTTAATGTTGCTTTTATGCAATATACTGGTATAGGGTTACAAAAAAATTTACATGAAGCTGCAAAGAATTATGCATTATCAAGATGTTCAAAAACACATTCAGATGTTAATTTAGCAATTGGATTGTTGTATGGACATTTGGGTGTAAAGTCAGAAGATAGCCAAGAAATTGCAACAAAAATTTTATTGGCTCAAAGAAAGTCATCTGTTGCAACGTTTCATCTTGGGATGTGTTATAGAAAAGGAATAGGAGTAGATGAAAATTCTATTAAATCAGCTGAAATGTATAAATTATCTATGAAGCTAGGTAATGAATTTGCTAAATTTCATGTTGGTTGTGTAAAGATGATCAAACATGAAAATAGAGAAGAAGCAATGACATTAATTAAAGAAGCAGTTGATGCTGGGTATTGGGTTGCTGAGTCATGGTATGGAAGATTTATTTATGCCTTTAATAAAAGAGAAGGGTTAAGATTAATTCGTAACGCATGTATTATGGAAGATAAACGAGCATTATATGCATTAGCTATTCATTTGTTAAAAAACCAGGATGTTAACCATGCAATTGAAATACTATTTCGTTTATGCAAACTAAATTATGTTGACGCAATTGTAACAGTTGGGGTATGTTTTATGAAAGGAGTTGGAGTAAAAAAAGATGTAAATGCTGCGTGTGTGTTGTGGAGAAAGGCTAAAGCATTAGGAAGTGACAAAGCAGTTCAATTCCTACAATATTGTTACAGTGATGAAGATGAATTTTATTATTAAAAAAATATTTAATTATAAGTAAAAGCAGATTAAAATAGTTCAGGTTTATCGTTTTTTCTTCATTTTCAAACACCCTTCAAATACGTTATCATGACACGATACTCCTTTAGGTATTTTGACTGTTATAAGAGAAGAACATCCAGCAAAACACCCATCAGGAATTTCTTTTAATTTTAAAGGAATAGCTATAGATTTGAGATTAGTACATTGTTTAAAGCAATCAGTACTAAACGATGTGATAGTCGGAGCAAGTGAAATAGATACTAATGAAGAACAATTAGAAAAGCAATTTGATGATAGGTGATTGATTGAAGAAGGAATTATTATTGAACTAAGAGAAGTACAATGACTAAAACAATACATACCTATTGAAGTGATTGAGGTAGGTATTATAATAGATTTTAAAGAACTACAACCATAAAACGTATAATCAGTTAATTGATGAACAAGCAATGGGATTTGAAATGATATTAGATGTGCACATCCAAAAAAACAACGTGTACCAATTGAAGTAATACCTGTTGGTATTTCAATTTTTTTTAAAAAACAACAATTTTCAAACAAATGGTCAGGAAGACTTAAAACAGTTGAAGGAATATTTACATATGTTAATGAAGTACATCCTGAAAAAACATTTTTATTTAATGAAGTAACAGTTAGTGGAATAAAGAATGATCGTAATGCACTACAATTTTCAAAACAACATGAGCCAATTTTTTTAATAGAAAAAGAAGGTAAATTTATTTGAATGATATATTCACAATTAAGGAATGTAGAAGATTTTAATTTTGACATTGAAGAAGGAATAGACATAGATGTTAATAAACAACATTCAGAAAAACATAATTTTCCTATTGAGGTGATTGCTTTTGGTAGTTGTAGAGAAGTTAAAGAAATACAATGAAAAAATGTACCAATTCCTAATACATTAACAGATGAAGGTAAATTAATAGTATTAAGCTTGATACAATTACTGAAAGCAAAATCACCAATAGACGTAATTAAAGAAGGAAATATTATTTCTTCTAATGAAGAACAATTAGAAAAAGTATATGGTTGAATGGAATTTAATAAAGAGGGTAAAATTAAAGAAATAATACCACACTTTTCAAAGGCATTATTTGATATGAAAGAAACTGAACTTGGAATAATAAGTGATGATAATGAATTACAGTTAGTGAATAGATTTTGAGGTAATTGTTTTAAAGATGAAGAAGTGGAAATAGCAATATAAGACAATAAATGACAATTATAAAAAGCACTTGGTCCTATTTCAATAAGATGTGGTACTTCACCAGATATACTTTCTAATTTAATGCAATTATAAAAAGCATTTGATCCAATAGCTATTAATGATAATGGTAATTGAATCATTTTCAAAGCACAACAATTATAAAAACACATCTCTGGAATAATTTTCAAAGTGTTTGAAAGATAAATTGATGTTAGTGAAGTACAATCAATAAAAGCAGAATTACCAATATAATGAATTGTATTAGGAAGAATAATTTTATTAATTTGACTGGAAGCAAATGCATAATCAGAAATACCAACAATAGAATTACAAAGTTTAATACATTTTTGAGACAATTCACTCCCAGAATTTTTATCAATAACAAAATGTAAAGAAGACTGAAATTGTTGGAGATAAGTTTTATTTTCCATATCAGTTTTTGTTAAATAAACAGTATTAATTTCATCATAATATTTATTGTTTTTCGTTAATAAAAAATATTGGTCAAGTGTTATTTTATATTTTTGTATGTACTGAGCCATACCTTCTTTTCTTAAAGAATTAATTGAAAATAATTGTTGTGAAGTACATCGTGTAAAAAATCGAATGTCATCAATAGGATTTACTTTAAAATACTCAAAAAAATGTTTATATTTTCGACTAATGAATACTACTTGTTTAAAAAGACAAATATCTTTGAAATATGAGACAATAACAGTCATTTCTTCTACACTAAATGTCACTACTCTCTTTCCACTCATAACCATATCTTTCGTTTTTTTTAGATTGAAAAGTTTTAATCTCAAAATCTGTTAATTGTAAATAACATTTGGTTAATTCTTAAATTTTATCCTTCCCTTTTAATGGGGTATTACATTACTTTTTTATATTTCGACCAAATTGATAGTGAATTTGACAATCGATCAAATAAAAAATAAAAAATAAGTATAATCTTCTACCCCTAAGATAAATAAATGATAATATATTTGATAAAGTATTTTTGGAACTAATAAAAATACATTTAGGGTTTAGTAATTTTTCTGGTTTCACTCAGTTTTTTATTTTTAGGTGACTTCCGCAACTAAAAATAGCAATTTTTTAAAATAATTTGGTAAATGATATTTTGTTAAGGGAAATGTAGTAGTTTTTCGGGATTTTTCTATTCAAATGAAACAGATTAGATTAAATGAAATCTCAGAGAAAATAATTGTAAAATAAGAATTAACTGTCCTAAGAATAATTAGGAAAAAGAAAGAAGAAGATAGGAACAGAATTTTCTATTTGTGAACCTTTGTTCAACAAAGGGTAAGACTAAACTGAATGACAAGAACTTAGTATTTTAAATCATGCAGTCATTCCCTGCTCCTATTGATGAAGTTATTGGGCGGTGTGTTTCTAAAGAATCTGAATTTACATATTTTGATAATGGTAAAAAAAAAATTCACTGGAGTCATCCCAAATATATTGAAAAGAAAAGAGAAAATAAATCCTATGAGGCATTTCAACAAGCAGTATTATTATGCTATTTAAATCAGTTTTGTGCAATTACCTTAGAAAAAAGAAGAAGACAACCAACAGTTACCATGTCATTACCAAACATTAAAACCTTAATTTTTGAGAAAGAGGAGATTGACATTTCTTCATTAGCAGAACAACGTTGTCGTCAAAATTTTGATGATTGTCATTTTGAGGGAAAAAATAAACAAACAACAACCAGGAGATTAGAAAAAAATAAACGAATCTTCATCCATAATTTATTGATTGATATTTTAATAGAAAAAGGATATTTCTTTGATTCAAAAATGTCAAAACGTTCTAAACGTGGATTCCAACTTGAAAGAATAATTCATATATTCTACAAAAATAAATTTATTATGGGTAAAGAAGATTTAACAATACATGGCTGTAATGTCAATTCTTATTTATGTAAGTTAGTTGAATCAACACCTATTGTAACTATACCTCGAAATGATCTTTGTTTGTATCAAGCTTTTAATCAATAGAACTTTTTTTTTTAAAAAAAAGAAAGAAATATATTCTAAATTAATTTTCAATTTAATTTTACTATTTTTCTTTTGACCACTACTTTATTTTAAATGATTAATACAAGTAAAATAAAAAGTATCATAATAACTCCTTTATATTTACTTGAATTTGATTCATTTGGACAATCATCTGGAAAAGCACTTACACAACAATTAACATAAATATTTGTTTCTCCTTTTAAACATGTATTACATTCTTTTGAAGAAAGTGTAGATAACTCAATTTCACATTCATTGTCTGAGTATTTCTTTAATACTAATTTATTATTTTCTTTTGAATATTTCTGTTTTTCAATACATTTTCCTACTATATATTCTGTGTATATTTCAGGTTCATAACTACTAATACAACTTGATTGGTCTTGTTCTACATCAAATGAAATTGCTTTTATATCACCTGTTGGTTTTTGAGTATTAATTTGACTAATTTCTAATGAACCATTAAATGTTGGAGTTGATTGACATTTTGTATTTCCAAATTCATGAAGCGTATAACTCACTTTTTTTACTTCTCCTTCAACTCTTTTAGTTATTTGAACTGATGAAATAGTAGATGTTTTATAACAAATACCGGCTGTGTACTTAATATATGACAAAACATTTTCTAAATAATAGAAATGAACAAATGAATCTTGTTCATCACATTGTAAATAAAATAATGTTGATTCTTTTGTAATAATAGAATTGCATTGATAATATAAACTATGGTCATTGTTAACTAAATATCCATTTTCAATAGAATATTTAGAAGATTCATCAACTGTACCAGTATAATATGTTTTTATTCCATCACTATCTTCATTGCAAGATTCTTTAGAAGTGCATAATATCTCTATAGAAAGAATATCACTCAATGGCTTGTTAGGTAACACTATTACTTCAGAAGAAGATGTTTCACATGAAGAACTTGTAAGACCAGTTTTAAGATACCATTTATTTGATTCAAAAACAACCTTTCCATACAAATTCTTATTGATTAAACTACATTTATTTATTGAATAGACTGTATACTTAGACTCATCTCCAATATAAGCCCAATTTGGTGAACAAACAATATAGTTATTTCCCATTTGGGAATAACATTTACTATAAACAGCTATTGTTCGTTGAGAATTACATAAATCATCAGTAAATGTTATTTTATTTAATCCACTAACTTCAGTTCTATATATTGTAGAATCAGCACAGACATTTTCATAAATATATTCTACTATTTTCCCACTTTCACTTTTAGAACTTGACTGATAAATAATTTTTGTTTCTGGTGGTTGATAAGTGTTTGGATTAGTTCTTTCATAATCAATTCTATTTGAGCAAGAATCCCTGCAACCACTTTCACTATGTTCACATTGACTTACTATATCTTTAAATTTTCCATCTTTCAATGAAAATGAACTCTCAAAATTAATATATTTATCTCCTTGTTCATAACACACACCATTAGTAGAATGCCCAATTCTTTGAATTTCATTTGTTTTTGACTTAGCAATGATATAATAATATTCTTCTACATTTTCTTTATTTGAAACACTGTGATAATACCTATTTTTAATATCTGAATAACATTTAAATTCAAAAGATTCAATTTCTGAAGCAGTTCTATTAGAATTAATACCAATTTTTATAAATTGGTTAGAAGTCTTTTTGTATATTTTACCATTTATTAATATATTAACTAAATAATAAAATGTTAAATAAACTGGAGAAGCATCTGAACAAGAATCGTCAACACTAATAAAATCTTTTACATCATAATTAGGAAGTGATCCTGACTTTTCGCATTGAATAAAAGGGTCTAATAAATATTCATCACTATTAATAATATCAGTACAATAATTTGAATTTGTTTGTTCAATTTGATACGCCTTCATTTCTCCTTTATCATTTTTCATAAGTTGAATATAATACATTTTATTCCCTTCTTTTTTATAATAACAATTTTCATCTTCGGCTTCAAAAAACATATTAACAAGATCATTTTGTTTCACTTGACAAATATATTTAGTTTGTGCAAGACAATACCCAATTAAACAATAAGAAATAAAAAGAAAAACTTGGTTTGGCATAAGAATAATAACAATAATGTCTTTTTTAGTTTTTATAACTCTAATAATAGAAACCCTTAATTTTTAAAATTTTCCAATGAATTTTCAGCTTAATTTGTAACAATCAAAATAATATCTTCCCATATTCAAAAATATGACGAATTAGATAATAATGTCTTGTTGTTAAATCTTTAATTGATATTCGTTTATTCTTTTTAAACTCATTACTAGCTGTATTTTCTTCTTTTGATGAAGAAATAATCCTAGACAATGCATTTAATAACATGAGTTTCTTCTTTCATTTGAATAATTATTTATTTTGTTCAATAAGATGTTCATGAATATTTATTCCTGTAGTTAAATCCATTTTTGTTAGAACTACATTATATGCAGTTTATCCAAATATTGGGTCATTAACAATATATACACCAATCTCTATTTCTAACTAATTGTCTTGTGTAACTTTCATGAAATTAGAACCATCTCCTGATTTAAATGTCTCTCATTTTATTTCTTTTGATTTATAATACATCTCTTTGACAACAAATGTCTTGTAACTTATTCCTTCACATTAATATTTTTCAATGCCTTTTTTTACTTTTTAGCATTATAAAAATCTAATTATGATGAGTGGTTTAGTTTAACCAAGAAATGTCAAACCAAATTAGAATCATCTCTTTTGAATCTCTAATTCCACTAACTTTGGCTTCTTCTATATCTTGATGATTTGATTAACAAACAGAGAATTCAATAATACATTTGCATACATTACCATTATGTTCTTTAATACCTTTTTGAATGTCTTTTATGCTTGTATTTAAATGAGTTTTATTTCCTTGTTTTTAAACATAAATTCTATGTAACTCTATTTTCTCTGGAAGTTCATTTTTTTCATCAAGCTTTTCTTCTTTTTGGTTTTTATTTATACATTCTAGAGAAATAGTTTTACAAGGGTAATTATCTGGAAATTCCCAACTTTTTAACATCCCCACTTTTCTCTAAATTTTTTAATTTTTCACTAATCTCAACCTATACTTGGTACAGTTTTTATGTCACTTGATATAATAAGTACATTTATTAAAGTTATTGATATTGCCATAGAATACATCTCTAATTAACTCACGTTTTAAAGTTTTGTGATGACACTAAGGACAAGCTCCAAAAATCCCAAAAGTAAGAATTTCTGTACAACCTTTAAAATAGTTTGACTATCAATTTTGGTATCTCTATCAATATGACTCTCTTTTAAATAATTCCTTTTGAATTGTTAACTTCACGTGTTGTAATTTTTTTAGACTCCCAATACTTTGTATAAAGTTGTTTGAGATGTTCTTCTTCTCCATCTTTAAATGTAAGTTTATCAATACAAGATTGTCTAATTTATTGAATATTTTTTTTGTCTTAGTACGTCTCATCATTTAGTCGATGATAATTTTATTAGTTTGAACTAAGCAAACACATACTCTAAATGATACTCTTCAGTATCAAATCCATCATACCTTGAAGAAATAGTTTCTATACCATTTTTCAATTTGCCTACATCCAGAATCATTTTACACAAGGAACAACATCCTCTATTGACTTACAGAATTCAAATATGAAATGTTAATCTTCCATAATACCTTTTAATTTCAATCTTGAAATAATTCAATCATAGACATTTTGTTAGGTTCATTTTATTATACAATAATTTTGTTATTAAATAACAAAGTAATAATTTGTTATTCTTTTTTATTCGTTTTTGTTTATCTTTTTCACTCAAAAAAAATCTCGAAAAGAAAAGTTAAAAACAAACATGCAAGAATATAAGGAGTATATCCCTTGCTCTTATCAAGACATTTTAAATGATGGGACATCACTTGGTTTGCAGTTGATTACTTGCAGACCAAAAAAACAAAAAGAAACTACATATCCTCAGTATAATTGCGTTGGTAGATTTGAAAAATTAAGACTTCTCTCTCATTATTGTATATCACATTATCTTGATATTATTCCTGCAAAACATAGTTTGTAAGTTAAGTATAATTCAATAAAAAAATATTAAGATATTTATTGGTAGATGAAACTTATTTATTATGTGAAACATATGAAAAAACACTTCCTGAAATCTTAACAACTTTAGACGAAAAGAAAGGTATTAGATTATTACAAGATATTATTGAAGCTTATGACTATCTTCATCAACATAACATTATTGTTGGATATCTTAATACATCAAATATATATTATACAAACACAAATATTGGTAAATTAGGTAATTATGCTTTATATCATTTATCTCAATCAAACAAATATTTTACATGTGCGTTTAAGTTTCCAACAATTGCACCTGAAGTATTACTAAATAGAAATCATTCATGTTCAGTTGAAAGTGATATATATTCTTTAGGAATGTTATATATTATTATTCATATGCAATTTATTCCATCTAAAAAACAATATATTTCATGGGTTATGGCATTGTTTGAACTTTCTAGTCATTGCAAAGAATGTATAAATTGTCAACAACATAACTGTGAAGAATTTACACATAAAGTCGATGAATTAAATAAATTGTATTTTGATAAAGAAACCCATTTAAATCCATTACTTACGTCTTGTGTTTGTCCCATACCAACAATACGACCAACAATATCTATGTTATTAGAAAATAAAATTTTTAGTGAAAGAAGACCAATTATCCAACCTCAAGATAAAGAACTTCTTGAGCTATTAAATTTTAGTTATAATGCACCTAAATATTTTATGACAAGAAGAGAAGTATTACATGAGATGTGTTATTTAAAATTATTAAATACTGACATTCCAAAGAAATATATTGAAATTATGGGAAAAGTATATGGAGAAATGGCTAAATATCCTATTTTCAATCTTGAACGTTTTGTTTCAATTGAAAGAGATGTTTCAGCAGAAGAAGTTCAAAATGATTTCACAATATATTCCATTTCTGTTGAAGACATTATTAACCCTTCAATTGTCATTGATAAAGAACTTGATGGCTATGTAAAATCAGAAGGAAATCAAATAGAAAATACTTCTTCATCTGAAAAACTTCCATTTTTTGTTAACATACTTACTCAACAATTTAGTACATGTCCAGTTACAGATGTAGTTAGATATCATAGATTATATCATGCTTATTTTAGATTCTTATCTCGATACGCAGCAGAGAATCCTAATTTAGTTGGAACTATAGTTCATAAAGTTGAACGAGTTGCACAATCATTTGTTCCTGAATTTTTAAGATTACCTGTTTGGATGTTATTCCTTGGTATTGATGTTAATTTAGCTTACAAAAGATACAATGAACGATCAAAAAGTGTTCCTTTAATTATTAGCTCAAATGATATTGATGAAGATACAAGAGTCATTGTAGAAGATGTTAATAGAGCATTTAGTACCGTTCCAATTATTGCTAATGAAGTTACTCGTAGTCAACTTAAGAGGGTATTATTTTCGTTTTTACGTTCTGGAGAAGAGTATTGTCAAGGTATTCACAGTGTTTGTGCTGTATTTCTTTCTTTATCTTTCAATGAGGCAATATGTAGTGAATGTTTACATAGGTTTGAAGCAGATTTTGTAAGGCAATATTCTCCAGAAAATTTTAGAATTTATTTTATTCGTTTATGTCAATTACTTTCATTCCATGGTCCTAAGGTTGCTCCAACAATGAGTTCTAGAGTTATAGAAAATTCAACAGCAATCAGATGGTTCCTCCCATTATTGTCTTTATCAATGAAATTATCAAGTATTTATCAATTATGGGATTGGGTTCTTCAATCTCCTAAATTTGCTAAATTTATGTTCTTTTTATTAGCATATATCTTGTCTTGTGAACCAATGATTCTTGAATATAACGACCCTTTTGACCTTATCCTTCATTTTAATAAAGTTGAATTTGATCAAGCAGATGTTATTGAACAATGTACTTCTCAATTTAACAATTTAATTTCAACTTCTCCAATAAGTTATACTGAAAATCATATTTCTCCTTCACACCCTTCACGATCTACTCCTTACGCTTCTTTAGCAAATCAAGCAATTGATGAAAGTTCAATGGTAGTTGTACCATTATTAGATCAAAGTGATTTACAATTTACTATGTATAATACTTCTTCATTATATGTTGATATGAGACCAGAATCTACGTATCACACTTTAGCCCCTAAATCATTAAGGGTTATTTTCAATAAACCAGAAGATGTTGTTTCAGAAGTTTCTTCTGCTCTACGTGGGTTTGATGATGTTTATCCTGCTTTTGTTGTCTTAATTAGTGATTGGGATGAAACAAATGATGTTGATATCAGTACGATTTATCTTCAAATGATGACTGTTGCTGATTCATTGGTTAAAAATGGATTTTCTCACATTTGTATGAGTGCTGTTCCATTTCATTCACTCCATCGTCAATTCTTTACAGAAAATGAAGTAGTAAAAACAGAACAAGATGATCATGATGAGGATGTTGTTTAATTAAATGAACCAAAAATTTTCACTCGGCTTTCTTTTTTTTCAACTCAACATAACAAAAAAAATATTATATTGTCAGTTAAGAATAATTAATCATTTAAAAATAACTTAATGAAATTATTAAAAAATTTTTCTACAAATCTAATTAATAAATAATATATTTAAATTATAAATTTTATATTCATTAAAGTAATTAAGACTTTAGTCTTTGGTTTAAAAGTCAAAAATTAAAAATAAAAAGGAATAACATAATGATATAAAAACAAATTAAGTTAAATATATTATTAATATTCTTAATATTTTTTTAGTTTGAAGAAAATATGTATCATTGAAAATGATGAAATTAATAAAAAAGAAATTCTCATTTAAGATACAATCTTTAACTTGAAGTTTTTTATTGGAAGTAAATAAAAAAGTGTTAAATTAATATAAGAAAAAGAAGAGTTAATCTAAATCATCTTCATCTAATCCTTTACTATCACTATCCAATATAGCAATAACATTTTTTAAGTCTGAGTCAGGATAATTGTCTAATGATTTTATTAACATTTTTGCTTGATCATTTGATGTTGGTTTAAAATTACATAAAGAAACAATTTCAAGTAATGACAAATGAGACATGCTTTTTAACTTTTCAATAAGTTCTTTTGAGTTACCATTGTCTTTAAATTGTTTACAATATTCTTCTGTTTCACGTGCACTGAAGTATTAAGAATTATTTTACTTTTTAATAATTATATAAAAAAAAACAAACTATTTTCCTGTTCCTTTTGTTGATACTTCTTCCAATACTTCTGAAGTAGTTAAAGGAATAGCATCTTTAAACATATCACCATATTGTAAAATATCATTATTTGTATTTCGTTTTGTGTTAGCTTCTTCCATTCTTTTATTTTTGTTTTTTTTTTGGTTTTGATAGTCATTTTGTGTTATTTGAATAATCCATATAATTATTATAAAAATAGTTAATAATATTATAAAATACTAAATTTGAAACCTAAAGAAAGATCTAGTAACTATTGAACTAAACCTAGTTCTAAAGGAGAATGTCCACACAAGTTACTGAAACTCCAGTTATCTATGCTCAAGTTACTGAAATTCTTGGTCGTACTGGATCAAGAGGAGGTGTATTACAAGTAAGATGTGATATTATGGGAGAAAACAGACAAATCCTTAGAAATGTAAAAGGACCAATTAGAGTAGGTGATATCCTTACCCTTCTTGAAGCCGAAAGAGAAGCCAGAAGATTGAGATGAGATAAATTAACTAGGTCACTCTGTTATTTTGTGTTGTTTTATATGTTTAAAAGAGTATTTTCAATTTAAATAACAACAAGAATTATTGTTTCTTTTTTTATTTCTTTAATTTCTAATTGTTGTTGTTATTATTTTCATTCTTTTTATCCAAACATTATAAACTGAATGAATGATGAATAAAAAAAAGTTATTTCTTGAGATATTGACTATACCAAGCTTCGTCATTGAGTAAATCATAAAATTTATCTTCAATAATTCCTTGAATCTCATCTACCCATTGAGAACATATTTGTTCATTTTCAAATCTGAAAATATCTTCTCTGAAATAGATACAATTTGAGCTATGATCAATTGACATATCTTTATTAATTGAAATGATAGAAGGTTTAACTTTAGATTTTGTTTTTGTTGTTTTTGCTTGAGAATATGTTTTTTCTTTCACATATGCAATTTGGTCATTCATCAAAAATGCCATATATTTTTCTCTACTAATTTCAATTTCTGATTGATTAACTAAATACCTACCATCTTTTATTAAATCATCATTATTAAAAAGATCAGCTAGATCCATTAATCCATCTCTCATTTTTGCTCTTTGATTGATAGTCATACTAAAGAATTTAAATATTTGTTCTGCATTAACAATTTGTTCATAATCTGGATGCATTGGAGGAGTATGTTTTTTTATTGTTTCTAATAATAATGGATATCTCATTGTTCTTTGTACAGGTTGAATAAGTAATGTTGGAAAATCAGCAGGACTATCTCCTTGAGCTTTATTTGCTTTAGAAATAATTTCTTGAATAATAGGAAGTTCTCTAATATTTTTCCATACTTTATCAGCAATATTATAATCAGTAGTAAATGGTAAATATGGTGTAACTAATATAGCATTTTTAAATATTTCATTACCAACACATGTATCATATTTAAATGAATTAACTAATGGTCTTAATGCTTTTTCAAATTTATCTGAATTAATAATACATTTTTCTAATGTAGTAAATATTCTTTTAATATCTTTTTCATTAAGTTGACCATTTTTAGCTGCTTCTATCATTGGTTTTCTATATAATTCATTCAATTTTTTCATATTATTAACTAAATTTCTTTCAGTATCAACAAATTCTATAAAATCTTTTCTTCTATCTCTTAATTTTTTAATTTGATATTTTTCCATTACAACAACTGTACTAATTCTTCTTTGACAAAATTCTAATGATTTAATATCTTCTATTGGATCAATTTGTATTTTACTAATTTTAATATTCTTTTTAGCTAATAATTCTCTCATTTTATTAATTTTTTGAATATCAATTTTTGGTTGAATATTTTCTTTTCTTACTCTTAATGATCCATAAATTTTACTCATAGTTTCATTTTTATTTAATTCTAATAGTTTTTCTTCATTTTCTTGTTTTTTTCTTTTTACCGTCTCTTCTACTTGTTCATTAATTCCATAATATTGACAAATATCTTTTATATTATCTTCATTTGAATTATATACATTTAAATCATAATATGAAATATGTAATGCTCCTCGTTTAATGTATTCTACTAATTTCTTTTCTCCATCAATCTTTTTTAAACAATCTATCATTCTTCTATCCATTACACTTAAAAATTTTCCCATTATTTCAGATAATGTTTCTCTTGTAACTCCTAAATATACTAATATATCTGGAATGGCAACTCCAAAATACATTAATATTACCATTCGTTCAACTGCTTTACGACTTGTTAATTCAATGTCATATGTTGATTCTCCTTTTAAATAATCAAAATATATTTTCCATTGCTTTTCTTCTTTTTTATTTCCTGGAATTTTAATTATTTCTCCACGTTCAATACTTTCTTTCTTTTTCTCAGCTAAAAATCCTATGACACTCATTACACTTCTTCTATTATTTAGTAAACTCTTTTCAAATTCAAATGTTGCTCCATTAATTTCAAATCGTATCACTTCTGTTTCATTTCTTGTATTAAATGAGTACCATGCCTCATAATATTCTTGAACTGTAGCTGTGCCAGTAACTCCATTCATCTTGAAATTGTTTTTCACTAAAAACTTTTTTACTTTTTAAAGATTTATAACATCACATGCTATTTTGTGTTATTTTTTAAATATGTTATTAATAACAATATTATTTAAATAAATTTTTCTTAATTTATGTTTTAATAAAAAACAAAAAGAAATTACTAAAAAATTAAAAAAAAAGTGAAAACTAAAAAAAATAAATTGAATAAAAGTGAAAATGATACGTAATGTAGTGTTTAATTATGTTTCAAATAATCCATTGTACTCAGTTTCATGGAGTAATAGAAAAGATAAACCATTGAGAATTGCAACTACATCATTTATGAGTCAAATCAAAAATAGTTGTGAAGTTTGTTATTGTTTTAATAAATCATTATATTTAATAAATACCTCTGATTATATAGGTAATTCAATTAAATGAACAATCAAATCAAATGATTAAAATATGTGAAACTGAAATCGATTATCCTCCTACTAAAGTACAATTTTCTCCAGATACTTCTACTGGTGCTAAAGACCTTCTTGTTGTTGGAGGATTAAAACCACAACTATTTGAGATTCATGGAAATAAAATGGTAAATGTTGCTGTATTAGGTGCTTCAAATGATTCATTATCACCATGTACTTCATTAGATTGGAATGTTATTAATAAAGATAGATTAGGAACTTGTTCTTTAGATACTACAGTCACTGTATGGTCAGTTGAAACTCATCAACCAATAAAAAAATTAATTGCACATGATAAAGAAGTTTATGATATTTCATTTGCAGCTAATCCTGATTTATTTGGAACAGTTGGAGGAGATGGTTCATTGAGAATGTTTGATTTACGTTCATTAGAACATTCAACTATTTTATATGAGTCACAAGGTCTTGTTCCTTTATTAAGATTAGCTTGGAATCATTTTGATCCAAATTTCATTGCTACATTCTCTTCTGACTCAAATAAGATTATTGTTATTGACGCAAGAAAACCAGCTGTTCCATACACTGAACTTGCTTTACATCAAAGTAATGTTAATGCTATTTGTTGGAGTCCACATAGTAGTACTCATATTTGCAGTGCATCAACAGATAGAAAGGCATTAATATGGGATTTATATCCTATAGAAAAATCAAGTGATCCAGTTGCACTTCAGTATGAAGCATCAGCACCAGTTAATGATATCTCATGGTGTGGAACAAATTCTGATCTTATTTGTATGTCAGTTGGAAATCAAATTCTAGCTGTCCGAATTTAATCATTTTTGTTATATATTACCAATTTTGTTTATTTTTAAATTGATATAAAAATAAAAGAAAGGGAAAGAATTATGAGATTTAGTACTAGAAATATTTTTGAGGAGTAATAAAGATTTGGTAATGAAAATTTGAAACGAAAAATAAAAACTATGAAAGAAAAAAAGATTAATCATAAAATCAATGTTTTCACCTACTGTTCAAACACTAGGACTTCTTAACCTTGATCCTCATACAAATATAGTTTCTGTTCTTACAAAAGAAATTCAAATATCAATTATTCATCAAGTCTCAGGGTATATTGTAAATAATTTAAATCAATTTCAAGCAAGTTTGAACACTGAAGAGCATTGTAAGTGGTTTGTTATTTTTATTTAGTAGAACAAAAAAAGAGGATTGATAATAATTCGATAGGATGATGGAAATAATTGGTGCTGGTTTGAGACTTCCAGTTGAATGTTTTGAAACAATTGGTCAATGTGTTAAAATATATGAATCATGGTTTATTCTACAACAATATACTCCTCAACCTATCGTTCAAAAATTTAAAGAATTTAAACGTGTTGTATGTGAACAACTAACTTTGGTTTTATGTAAAAGAGAAACTACACCACAAAATTTTAATGTATTTCCAAAATATTGTGAGTTATGTAAAAAAGTTATTAGTATATTAAGGGTACTAAGTAAGTCATTAGAAAAACAGGGTGGTGAAGTTACTCGAATGTTTAGATTAGTTATTGGATGTGTACAAGATGTTTGCGGGTGTAAGTGGTCAAATGAAGAATTAGTATTTATTTCACCAGTAGCTGGTGTATTAATTCGATTTTTTTATGAGATGTGGGTTGAACATTCTAATGAAGATTGTAGTTTAGTAAAGTTAATTTCTAAATTACATCCACAATGGATTAAAATTAATACAATTGCTTTAGAATGGGTTAAAATTGCACAATATATTCAAAGTAAATATCTTGATACATTATATATAACAAAATTAGATAATGGCGTATTGTCATTAAAAAATGAAGAATATGATTTTACACTAACTACTTCATCAACTTCATTACTTAAAATGTGGCTTCATTTTATTCGTTTGTTAGTTAAATATTATTCAAATTTAAATAAATAAATAATTATTTATAATAAATAGATTTTTGTGGAAATGTTGCAAACATAACTAACCCAGATGTTCTTGAATTAGTTGAAGAAGGATTTTATAATTTAATTGTTCAGATGATTTCATATACAAATAATAAAAATATTCAACAACCTCCTGATGGAAACATTATATTATCTATATACTTTGATACTATTAGTTTTCCTGTAATATATTTATCACATCATATTTATTTTGGGGCAATCTTATTCTCTCTGAAAACATTATTTCTTATAATTAATACTTTTGCCTTTAATAATACTATTGACCAATCTTATTTAATTAAAATTTATCATGTCATCTCTTTTGGAATTGATACACAAAATAGTATTGTATTATCTTTTATTTTAAAACAACTTCCTAGTTTATTTAAAAAAAGATTACCTGGTATTGAAGTATTATATCCAAACTTGATGGTAACAATGGAACGATATTGTGCTTCAGCCTCAACTTCAAAAGATCAATTATTAGATATACTATCATTATTACAATTGATTCAACTTTCTTTCTCACAACAATGGGAAACTATTATGATTCCTACAATTCCAAGACGTTCATCCATTCAATTTTCATACCACAATCTCATAGAAAAAACAAGGTCTGTATTATTTAGTATCTTAAAAACTTCAAAGGATCCAGATGTATTAGATTCATTATTATTAAGTTTTAATAGGTTCTTACTTGATTATGTCACTCGTGAGTTTGAAATAATAACAATTGATGACAACTCGCCAGATTTTGTTTTACAAGAATTTATTAAAGAAATGAGTCAAAATGGAATGTATTGGTTTGAGTGTTTATTTAATGCAAAGAAATATCATAACATTATTGAATTACTAAGAACTCTTAATCAAATTATTCCATGTCTTTCATCTCCTCAAGGACCATTCCAAGAAATTTTCCAAGTTTTATCTAATTTTGTTGAATTAAATTATAAAACATGTGAAAATATTCATCCAGTATTATCAGTATATGCACTCTTTTTCTCAAAATGTTATCCAAATTTACCATCAAATGTTTTGATAGCATCATTAAGATTATGTAGTAAGATATGTTCATTTTTTAATTCTTTAATAACAAATGATCCTATGTTAGCAGTAACTTATAAATTTGATTCAGAATTAATGAGCTCTCTGTTTAATAATTTAATGCCAGAGTCTTTTAAAGATAATATTATTAATGAAGTTTTTATTTATAACTTATTTAAACAATATAATATAACTAATATATTTGATCATTTCCAAATATTCTTTGATTCGCATTCAGTTATTTCTTATATTGATCTTCCATGGACAATGAATAATGAATTTTGTGACATTCTTGTTATTTCTAGAACTGCATATTTTAAACAAACATACATCATTAGATATCTTATGGATAATGAACAATGGACTTTAATCAAAAATAATATTAATTATCAAGAAGTCACTATTGGATATCCTTGTTTTAATGAAAAGGAGACATGGACACATCAATCAATTCTTTTCAACCTTGACCATTATTTAAATCCTAAACCAGCACCACAAAAACATGCTTCACTCCATCTACCGAATTTGAAACATATTGTCCAAGAGTCTTCAAATTTTAATTGTTCTCCCATTAGGTTATTCTGTATGAGCATTCACTTAATGGAAATTTCTCATATGAATTTAATCCCATTAAATACAAATGAGAAATTATTAAATGAATTGGTAGAATTAGACTCTGTTGCAACAAAAATTACTGGAAATGTTGAACTAAAAATTAAACAAAACAATCAACTTTTTGTTGAATTTGTAAGTAATCTTGGAACCTTAGTTGATGGTGAAACGTTTGTTGGTTATAAAGGGAAGTATGATAAAGAATCTATGTTTGTGTGTAACTCAAATTCTGAAATGGATGTAATTTATAATATTCCATCAATATACGCTACTCCTAATGAAGCCAAAGGTAAAGAAGAGATTGTAATTGAATGGAAAGAAAGAAATGAAATACAAGAATATTCAACATTAAAACATGATGATAAATTATATATTATCATTGAACATGATAATTCAGATATTTTTAGAGTTTTATCAAATAAATGTGTTGGACCAATGTTAAATGTTCAATATATTAGTTTAGGTTCTTTAGGACTATTTATCAAATTAACTTGTGAAGCATATTTAAGGCAAAACAATGGTAATATATCTCAAATTAATAGAAGAGCTGCATTAGAAGTTATTAAATCATATTCTGATGATTTAAATCCACATGCTGAAATTCATATGTTATTCAATGAATCTTTCAGAAAATCTTTTAATACGTCAGAACTTAATTTTACTCTTGATGACATTGATCTTCCACTACTTTCTCCTACTACACCAACAAAACCTAGGGCTTTAGATATTAGACAAAAAGCACAAGACAATCCTGAAGATTTGACAACTTCACCAACAAAGACAAACCAAGTAAAATCAAATTCATTATTTAATAAGGCTACTACTTCTCAGAAACCTCAACAAGATAATTCATGTATGTCAAAATCATCATTTGCTTTCAAAAAGATTGTTCAACAACAAGAAAAACAACAACAACAAATTCGACAATTAGAATTGTTACAAAATCGTTCTTCTTCTTCTGAAGATATTTCTCCTACTGTAATTAAGTCAGACCCACAACCTATTCCAAAAACAACTCCAACAACTCCTCAAAATAATTTACCATCTCCTCAATCAAATACAACTTCTGTTTCTCCTTCCCAAACACCTAAACAGCACGTAAATATGTTCCAGTCAGCTCCAGTTGTATCTTCATTCCAAAAAAGACCTCCTCAACGAGGTGGTTTCTTTACACAACGTGAAACAAATAAACAAGCAAAAGCCTCAATTAAAAGTGCATCAAATTATCCTCAAGTTTCTGTTCCATTAGCAACACAAGCTCATGGACAATACTCATATCAAAAAAAACAAGAAACTCCTCAACAAAAACATAATACCACGGGTTGGCAAATGGGTGGTACAAATGAAAAAACTCGTACAGGTCATCTCACAGCAACTTCTCGTGGATTTGTTATGGGAGATAGAAGAAGTCGTGATATTACCCCAACACAACAAGAACAACATGAAACAAATTGAAACAACTTTTTTTAATTACAATTTTGGAACAAGTTTATGATAGTTCTTTTTGAATCTAATTCATTATTCCTTGATTTCTTTTTAATTGGTTTATTTCTATTAAATCTTCTTCGTTTAAACAATAGCCTGTTCTATCTATTTTCAACTGACAAGTTAAACAATCATAAATCCATTCTATTCCTACTACATCAATTTTTTTCTCGTTACAAATTTTCATTTGTTTAAGTACATCTTTAAAGTCTATTAAATTATTACCAATAATGCATACAGTGACTGAAGAAGTTAATTTTGTTTTAAACTTTGCTCCATGAAACTCACATTGTTTAATTGTGTCTTCATTAAGACTCCCAAGAATTTTTATGTTTTCTCCAGTAAAAAATTTAGATTCTTTTTTCATACAAAATATAGTTTCATTTAAAGAAGGTTGAGACAAATATGATATGATTGACATCAATTGAACTAATTCATTACTTTCATTACTAATAGAGTTTTGCTGCATTTCTTGTGATGTGATATTATTTAGAGTATTTTCAGTTTGGTTTTCTTGGGTGTAATGGAAATTTTGGTTTTCCTCTTTTGTTGAACTAATTCCTACAACACCTTCTCTGCTCGTATCTTGTGACTGCCTTTGGGTATTAAACACTTCATCAAAAATACCTTTGTCAGAGTTTTGTATTGTTTGTGTTGATTCAGGTGATGTTAATGTAAATGGTATTTCATCTAAAAATTGATCAAATTCTATTGGAAGTGTTTGAGTTTCTGAAATAGGTTTAGTTTCAATACTTTTCCTTCTTAGAAAAGCAAGAGATTGTTTAGGAAGTTCAAATGTAACTTCAGATTTAGTTAAAACAATTGTGTCATTACGAATACTAGTAGAGGCTTTTCTCTTTTTTAATTCATTGCTTGATTTTCTTCTTAAGAGAATTTCATTAAACCTAGCTTCTTCACTTTTTCTTTTCTCTTCTTCTTCAGACTTTCTTTGATATTCTTGTTGAACACGTTCTTCGTAATGACTATCAACAAATCGTCGAATTATTCTGTTTCTATTATTAACATCTAATCTACACTCAAGCATTTCATTAAAATCAATATACCGCTCTTTGTCTAAAACAAAGATTCCTTTGTTATTAATTAGATAATGATGTTCAATGTCTTCGTTTAATTTACTATTATAATCAACATAAATTTTACCATTAAATGATTGCCAACGAATTTTACTTGTTGACTCTGTTGGTACTGTGCATTGAACTTCGACCTTTCGTGTTGTTAAATGAATAGAAACTGACATTCTATTTATTAGGAGATCTTTTTTATCAAGAAATTTGAGGTATGTTTTTAAAAATAGATAGACTCTCAAATTTCAGTTGATAAATCAAATAAGGAACTTATGTTGATACTATCTATATGAGGTGGTTTTGCTTTCTTTTTAAAAGAGTAATTTCTTCGGTAAGGAGTTAGAACTAAAATTTTTAAAGGTGAATCAAAATAATCATTACATCCTTTCACAAAGAGAAAGTTAATCACGAAATATTCTATTTCTTGAATCAATCTTTTCATTTCAGAATTTAATGAATTTAGATTCTTTCTTAATCCACACTCACCAAGAAAAACTATCATAAAAGATTCCTTTTGATTGTCATCTTTTTTATAGGTTAGATACTCATTCAGTTTTAATAAATCAAAAACTTCTCCTCGTTTCTTTAAGATACATCCTCGTAATTTAGTAAGAAAGTTCAAATTACACACTCCAAATGATGAGATTATTTTTAATGTAATTCTTTCTTTTAAATAACCAATTCCATAAAATTCTAGTATTTGTCTTTTACGTACAATTTCATTCCATTTCCATAGAGTGCTTATTGGTAATAATTCATTTATAATGCATTCTTGCATAAGTTTCTCAAAATAAGACACTTGTATTTTCATTTTAAGAGCAGCATTATAATGTGGAGTTAAAGAATTAGTCATTTCTAATTATCAATTATAGTGGATGAATTTAAGTCATTGAAAAGCCAATAAAAAATAAATCATTTTTGAGTCTTAGTGTTAAATAACAAATTTAAATTATATTATTGTTATTGTGGCATTAATTTCTTTACTGCATTAACTAATTTACTCTTGTTGAATTGTGCCCGTTCATATAATTCTTCGTACTGTTCAATAAAAGTATTTATAACGTCATCCTTGTTAGATTCTCCAGAACATATTTTTGTTAATTCTTTTTCTGTTTCTGCTCGAAGTTGTGGTCTAGAAAATTCAAAACCCATTGAGTCATATCCTTCAACTAATGCAAGTCCTAAGTTTGTAGGAATAAATGATCCTTGTTTAACAATAACATATTCTCTTTCTTGAATTTTTTGAATATGTTGTGCAATAGTTGCATCAGTACCAATTCCATTTTTATCCATAAGTTGAATTAACTCAGGCTCTGTTAATGGTTTTGGTGGTGATGTTTCTCCATAACTCACTTCAAAACAATTTAATTGGACTTTTTCTCCTTCATGAAACTCAGGAATTTCTTTATCTGACCATTTTCTAAATGGGAAAATGTTTAAATAATTACGTTCTGTAATCATCAATCCATTACAATGAAAACTTTCATTACCAACTTGTAATCCAATTTTTGTTTCAAATCCCCTTGCATCATCTGACATATTTGCTAAATAATTTCTTACAATGAAGTCATAAATTTTTCTTTCTTTTTCTGACAAATCATTTAAATTAGCATTTCTTGTTGGATGAATAGGAGGATGAGACTTATCAGTTGCTTTTCCATTTCTTGGATTTTTCATTTTACCATTTAGTAATTCTTGGACATATGATGAATATATACGATTCTCTTGAAACATTTCAATTTGTTTTCTATGATTCATATCAGAAGGAAATATATTTGTTTCTGTTCGTGGATAACTAATTAACCCAGAGTTATATAACTTCTCTGCTATATTCATTGTTTCATTTGAACTAATTTTAAAATACTTAGAACATGCTTTTTGAAGATCAACTGTTGTTAATGGTAATGGTTTAAAGTTGGTTCGACTTTTTTCTAATATCTCAGTAATAGTTGCAGAGTTTATATATTCCAATGCATCTTCATATAATAAGTCACATATCAGCCTATCAAATAACCTATTTCTATCCCAATGAAATTCGGTTAATATAGAATTTTTTTCTACAACACAATTAATTTTATAAAATGTCTCTTTTGTAAATGCCTTAATTTGATAATATCTATCAACAACAAATCCTAAAGTAGGAAATTGACATGCTCCATAACTTAAGACTTTCCCTTCTAATGCTTTTGATTTATTTTTTAGTAATGTTGTTTGAAATCTTGTAAAAGCAGCTCCTGTTCTTAAATCAATTTCTTGTCTTACATCAACAGCCTCACTCATATGTTTATTAGGAGCAGTTAATGTGTTGTATGCTTTAATAATTTCATTAGGAACTAAACTATTAAAATGAGCTCTCCATACTTTCATCTTTGAATTAACTTCAGAACATACTTCAATAACTTCAAAAGAAATGTTTTCTCCTTCTCTATCACAGTCAAGCCATAGTACTAATACCTGACATTTTTTTGCTAAACTTTTCAAGTTTAATTCAACTTTCTTCATATTGGATGGAACACTCTTTTCTATTGGTGCTGTAAAAAGTTCTTCAGGATCACAACTACCCCATGAACGGTAAGCTGTAGTAAAATCAATTCCCTTCAAATGCCCTGCAACAGAAGTAACATAATGAGTACACTTCCCATCATTTTTAAATTCATGTTCAAATGAAAACACAGAATTATATTTAGATAATCCTGGTGTTTTTTTACATGTCCCACGAGATAGGGTGTATGAGATAGCACTTGCTACACTCGGTTTTTCTGCTACATGCAGTATGGAGTTCATTACAAAATTAAATAAACAATTGAGTTTTTATTTAATGGTTCATTATTAATACTTTTTATTATACTTTTTGATTTATTAGATTTTCACTTTTTTATATACTTTGATGTATAATCTAGAAAATAAAAGCATCAAAAATAATGAAAAACAATCATTTTATTTCTAATACATCAACTCCATCAAGACACTCTACAAAGAAATAAAGTTTTGAATAATTTTCAACAAAAAGAACTGAAAGCACTTTTGAAGTATTTTTTGAAGAATTTAATGAACGTCCACCATAACAAGAACCTAATAATTCCAATTTCTCAACTTCATATAACATCAATTCTCCTCGATCACTTCCTAATGCCAAAACATTCATAATTGATCCATCAATGAAATGAGTAATTGTTACAGCCGTGATAGTAGTATTTATTAAAGTTTCAGCAAATTTATATGCGTTAATAGAATATCCTGTAATAATTGTTTTACTTTGTTGAATTGATAAAGTAATTAAATCACCATTTTTGTCACTAAATAACATTTTATTTATAACTTCATTTGTTTTTATGACTTGTCTAATTTTACCATCTTCATTAAAATATCGAATATATCCATCGCTTGATGCAATGACTGCTGTGTGATAATCAATACAATATGTTATTGCAGTTACTTTATCTGTGATACCATACAGTGAAACAAATAATGGATTTTTTCCAAATGGCTGATTAATAATAAATGATTCTCCAGTCTCACATCCATAAACTAATTTATTTCCATTATCAAAAACATTGAAGTCAGTAACATCTAATGACTTGCAATATAAACTATTAATAATTTGATCATTCTTACTTAATGTAAATATACCTTTATTTTGTTCATATTTTACACAATAAAGTTCCTTGTCTAATGAAAAAGTACAACATTGTTCAGTAAATACTGAAAATTTATTATTTTCAAATGCAAATAAACATCCTATTTTTAATGTAGTAATTAATTCTGTATGAGGATTATGAAAATTAAAAGCTAACCTTGGGGTAACTAATTTCTTTGGATGTGGTTTAATAAATACTTTATTTGGTATATTACCCATTGTTTTCCATATAACTTCCTTAATTTGTTCATCCACTTCAGATTCTTTTGTATATTCCTTACTATAAACATTAAACTTATTTCTGTTTTGTTGGTCAACTCCAAACACTAAATCAATCCATTGGTTAATGGTTTGTCCAACTTCTTGACTTTCTAATGCTTCTCTCATATGATGAATGAATAACCTACTTGTTTCTCCCCAAGGAGGAAAGTTAACATCTCCAACGGTTGTACTTTCTCCTTTAAGATGATTCAAATTCATAAATACTTCAGGACAACAATAGAATTCAGGTAATAATTCAATTCTTGATTGTAACACAGAACTTAAAAACAATGAACCTACATTGACAAACATTCTTCCATCTATTTCTAAACATCTTCCTGACATTTCTTTTAAAATCATATCAGTATAGGGTCTTAGCCTAAATAAACATCTTAAAACTGTTGATGGACTACTCAGACAACAATTATAATGACATTCTTTTTCATAATAATTATCTTCTATTTGATTCGTCTCTTTTTGTGCTCCAATTGGTAGTTGGAGATTTCTATACATCTGAATATCACTTAATCTGAAATCTTTGCTATCATAACTACAAATAACCCATGGATATATGGGATATTGACTTAATGTTCTATAACTTCTTCCTGCTTCATTGTTGATTATTCCAAGATATTCAAAATTACTAATTAATCCTTTACTCCACATCTTTGTTGACTCTAACAATTTACTTTCTGAACACCCAGTAATTTCTATAATTTTATTACGTTGTTTATTTGTAAAAATAAAGAATTCAATTCTTCCATCAGCAGTTATTATTTCTAATCCATTATCTTGATACAAGTACATTTTCTTTGTGATGATTGCATTTTTTAAAGGTAAAATAATTTCTTTACTAATATTTTCATTATGAAGAACTTTTGAGTATTGAAAAACTAACTCTTTTTCATCTGCTTCTTCCTTAATTTGCATCATTCCTTCACACTCTTCTTCTTCTTTAATTCTTTTACATTTTATTCCACATGTTAATGCAATGGGAGGAATGTATGGAACAATTTCTTTAATCTGAAGATAATTTTTTAACTCTTCTATAATCTCGGGAGTAATTTCTTCAGTTGTTGGAAGGTCTCTCATTTTTGGTGAAGAATAATCTACTAAATTATGTACAAAACTTGGAGTTATAAAAGGTGTTAATTTTATAGCACTTATTGGGGGTGGGAATTGATAAGCTAATATTCCTTTTGGGGATGTATAGTTTTTAAATATTTTTAACCAATGTAAACAAGCAACCCTTGATGGACTAGTTGGTTTTGCTTTGAATGAACGAGGTGGAGGTTTAATAAAATCAAGATCATTAGGAATGGTTGTAGGTTGTATTTGTACAAGATATGGATGAAGGTATTCTTTTCTTTCAATAGTTCCATATATTTCATTGACAAATAAATGTAATTCATTTTTCACTTCTTCAGTAAATTCATTAAATCCAATTAAAACTGAATTTCCTTGTATTCCCTCTCTTAATAACTCAGTAGATAAAATAGTTGTTAATCCTAACGTTTTTAATAATGGTACATAATATGCAGCAACACTAATATTATTATATTTTTCTTCAAACAATGCCTGGCGTTGTTCAAATTGAACAATAAAATCTCTCACTGATAATTTCTCAATAATCAATCGTTGAGACTCAATTGATAATGGTAAATCATATTGTAATACCTCTTTCCAAATACGTGCAATTGCATTAATAAAGAATAATTTGTGTGACCTTCTTCCTTGAGTAACAACATATTTCTTGTGCATATCAGCAATAAACACATATACCCTCCACAATAATCTTGATTCAAAATTATCTGACATTACCAATGATGTAAAGTATAAATAATGAAGATGTACCTTTGTTGCAACTTGTTGTACTGATCGTTTTTGAGCCTCATTCATACCAGAGTCATACATTAATAATAGTCCATTTAATATTTTTTCATCATCATTTCTATGAACAACATTGAGAATAGAATGAAATACAACCTCATTATACATTTTACAAGATACTAAATTTCTTCCTTCAGGTTTAATACAATTTTCTGAAAATTCTTTAACTATCATTCCTAATATTTCTGTTGGTATCTCATTTAGAGTACATAATAATAATACTAATGATGGATCAGATGCAATGTCCATTGTATTTCCTTTATCAAAATTCATTAAAAATATAGTACGAAGAAATGAAGAAATGATTTTAATTGTAGAATAAGTATATTTATATACTCTTTTGACTGACCTGAGTGAGTTGAATAATCTAACAAATCCACCAAGTCTAATAAATTTACTATAAATTGGTTGAATAGATAAGATTAAACACATATATTTTAATACATCGTTAATATATTGCTTTTTTACAATAGCAACTAATTCTAATATAACTCCTATTGGTAATATACTTGATGCAGTAGTTAAAAATTCACAGACTTGATCCTTGTCTTCAATACTTAATGCACGAGTCAATAATATTTGTAACACTAATACTAATGACTCAATGCATGGAGTGTCCATACCCTCTGTGTCTGATGAATTCGATACATCAATATTATTTATAAGATTTCTAATTGCCACATTTCCTACTGATTCTCCTTGATTTGTACTATCATTAAATACTGTACATCTTATAATTTGTTCTGTTGAATAATTACTTTGAACAATCATAGCTATTTGATGTAAATAACTTCTCCACGATGATAACTGAAGTAAACCTGACATAACTGCAATGAAAGGAGACCTAATGTTTTTATTTTGAATTGACCTATCAATAAATTGTAAAAACCTTTCAAAAACTCTACACTCTTCTAACATTCCAATAGTTGATTGTACATGAGGTGATTTTAAACTTAATGCAACCTTTTCTAAATATATTCTAATAACATCATCATTTCCTTTCTTCCAAAAATCAACATTTAATACAATTTTATCAACAAGTAATGGAGATGTAAACACTTCTTTCTGGTGGTCAGTAGAAAATTCTAATAAAGTTTCAACCAATCCAATTTCGTTAAATAGCGTTGCTCTTGCATTTAATATATCAAACATAATTTTTAGTCCTCCAACTTCACAGAAGTTATAAGATGCTTTTCCATTCTTTGAAAGATATTTTGTTAAAATGTTTAGTGCTGCTAATACACTTTCATTATCTTTCATTTCTGCCATTAATATTAATAATACATCATATCCTCCAAGTAATTCTAACATCTTTTTTCCATGAATACATCTTCCAATGTCTTGTTGTTTTGAATTTATCAAAGGTTGTGTCCAAGGTATATTTATTGGAATTATTTCTTTTTGAGTGATTAACTGTTTTGTTCTTACATTTACCATAAAAGAAAATGGAATAGTGTTGCACTCTTTTGGAGTTCTAATGTCAATTGGACATAACCAATTTTCATTACTTGGAACAAGGTCTGGATTTTCACAATATACCAATCTCTGGACAGCTGCCTCTTCAAGAATAGTTCTATATATTAGGATATTACCAATTCGTAAACGAACTTGTTCTGTACTTTGTACAATCATTTCAGTATTGTTTTCAAAAGTGGCAACTCCAACAACCGATCCAAGGAAAATACTATCTAAATATATTTCTATTTTACATTTATTACTCTTGTCTGTTTGATGTAGTGTCATAACAATAGAATGAAACATTTTTTCTCTTATTGGAAATTGTAATAATTCTCTTGAATTTTTGAAATAAATAGTAACTCCAACAGGAGTAGCATGTATTCCCAATGTATATTGTGGAGAAGCAAAAGAGAATAAAGAAACAGAAGGTGTTTGATATTCTGGGAATGAATGAATATAAAACCAAGTACATGTAGTAAATGGTTTTAAAGAATAGAATGGAAGTTTAAATGAAATTTTATTTACTAAATGTTGACTAATATCGAGGAAATATGTTGGTGTGGGGATTAACTCAAATGACGAAATGATGATTGAATCTAAACCTTGTTGAATGTGTTTGCATTGGTGAATATTTTTAATTAATTGTTCAAGGACATGATGATTACAATGATAACTAATAATACTTTTAATAAGAAAATCTGCATGACTTGCTTTCTTTGATTGAATGACAAAAGGAATTAATAATTCTGGAATTTCTCCATGACTTAATACATCTAAATTTTCACATTGTGATATTAGTGGAATAAATATATCCCCAATAAGTGTATCACTACATTCTTCAGTTAGTTTGAGACTTAATAACAATTTTAAAACAAGAATTAATGGTGTAGGCTCATCAATAATATTGAGCATTGTTGTTAAAGCAATATTCCTTAATATTACAAAAATATCATTTCCAAGAATAGAATAAATTTCTTTGATTCGAATAAAAGTATTATCTTCTTTCATAAATTCAACAAATAACTTTTTTCCAAATACATTTTCTTTAAGAGATGAAAATGAGTCAAAAAAGGTAGTAAAAAATTCTTTATTCCCATTTTTTTGATAAAAACATTTCTTTAAATAACACATAAAATCTCTAACACAATCTTCTGAACCTATTCCAATTTTTAATTTCCATAATTTCATTAATTGAATTTTATATTCTAATTCATTTAATCCATCAATGAGTTTAAATAATTTGATATATCCTAGAGATTGATTTATTTTTTCTGTATCATCATCTAATAATAATAAAGTCATAAATTCAATTGATAATTCAAATTCTTCTTTATTTGAAACACTTCTAATCATACTAGAAAAGAAATTATTAGGCTCTGTTGTCTTAAAATATTTTAAAACATCATTGTCTCTCATTAATTGAACTAAATATTTTAATGTTTTAATTCTAAATGTTCCAGTTGAATTAATTGCTGTTTGACGAATATAATAAGAAAGTCCACTTTCAAGAATAAATTCTTGAATATAAAATCTTGACAATTGTAATGAAGATAATCCATCAATAATTGGTTCTATAATATCAATGTTTTTTGAATTTTTCTTTATAAATTCAAAAAAGTATTTGCGTTCTTCAATACTTAGACATTCAATAATTCTAATAAACCCATTTAGAAGGATTGAGTACTGTTTTTTATTTGAATCATTAACAATGGTATTTAACTGTTCTTGAAAAACGCTAATGTTTGGTCCTACTGAATGTGCATATAAATGTACTTTTCTTAACAGAATAAAATAATAATCTTCTGTATTTTTTTGAATGAAGAAACTCAAAGAATATACCATTGGTAATACAAATGTAAAGTTGTTTGTTGCTTGTATAACATTAAAATAATATGTAAGACAATCTGGTGATGGTGGAACAGAAAGACCATAAGGAAATAACCCAGGGAAATCTACTGGAGATTCAGGAAATGTCTTTGTTAAACAAACAATCAAACGCATTAAAGTATTTATTTGTTGGTTCACTTTTTCTGGTGTTAATTTTGATTCCACTAAATTTGCACAAAGAACTTTAACTCTTTTTACTAATGGAGATGGTGTTGAAGAAATATGTAATGGAATATATCTGTAATAATGGTCAATAAAAGCATCAATGGTTTCTGGTTGAATTTTATCAACAAACAACAAGTCTGGTAATTCCAAATAACAAAATGGACCAATTAGACTAAGAGCATAACTAATAATTTGGGACTGTGGGGTAGATTTAACAGGAGTAATTTTTACTGGAATAGAGGCTATTTGATTTTGATGTTCAAACATAGGAAAAATCAGTGGGTTTTTGTCAAGAACTATATTAGGAGGAGAGGTAATAACATAATCAACCACTGAGTAAACAATCTCACAAATACATTCTATTTGTAAATTAGTAAATTTAGAAGAAACAGTGTGTGTAAGGATAGAAAAAGAGCATAATTCATTAAACCGTTTTACCATAATTTCTTCAATAAATTGTTTTGGCTTGGAATAAATTTTTATATTTTCAAATAAATGTTCAATAATTCCAGTATATTCCAATATTATAGGAAATTGTTTTGGATTTTTACAATAAATTTGAATAATTTCTGTTATTACTTTATTGTATTTTTCATCTGATAGTTCTTGTTTATATTCATTAAGAAGGCGTGTAAGAATAATCTCATCTATAGACTTTTGAGGTGGTTGAATTGGTGGTTGGACAGATATTGTTTTGCTGCGAGGACGAAATAAATTAAATAAATTCATCTCAGACACAAAGATGAAAACTGACTTTTTTTCAATCTTAAAAAAAAGAGAAAAGTAGATTTTTATTTATCAATGTTTCATATTTCTTTCCTAATCTCACAAGAACTAATATTTTATATTGGTAATTTGACATAGATTATCATAAAGTAAAGAGTTAAAAAGTAGAATGAAGTTGATTCAATTAAGTTGTTTTTGGTTCATTTACTAATAGTTTGATTCTCATGAGAAGATTATATAATGACTTACGAATGTCTTGTTCTTCAGATAGAATCAATTTATATAATGAAGATAAGTGAGTAGTATATATTTCCATTAATAAGTCATCAGAACAAGTATTGAGCAGATCAAAGACAACATGAAGAATGAAATTACTTGGTAAATGAAGGAATTTATCCAATAAATGAACAATAACACTTGGATATATTTTGAATATTTCTTGAGCATAAAATATTAAGATAGTTTGAACAGCAATTGTTACATCATTAATATATTTTAGATATGGAGAATCTGTTTTTATTTGAATAACCATATTTAATAATCTTTCAATATTAAATAAGAAACACTTTAATAACTCTTCATCTTCTTTTTGAGATAAAAGAATTATTTTTGGTGCAAATTCATACAATGTATCAATATATTTCTTAAATGTAGTTGCAATAAAAGGAATGTCTAATCGAGTTAATTCAAATTTGTGACCAATAAACTGGTCTTCAATATTTGTTTTCATAATTATCTTATGTTGATGTTGATTGTTCATTTTTTCTTTACATTCTAATGAACAAAATTTAAGAGAACAAAATGGACATTCAACTAATTCAAATTGTTGGACTGGTTTTTTGCAGCAAGAACATATTATTTCTTCTGTTTGATTATTATCCAATTCTTTTTCTTTCTTTTCTATTTCATCAATAACAGAACCTTGTTGAAGAGTAAATGATTGAACTGCATCAAAGAAATAATTGATAATATCATTATTCATCATTTCATAAATTTTTAAATATTGTGGATGTTCAATAAAAATTGGAATGATATCTTTTAATGATAATAATCCAATTTGTGTAATAAATTCCGTACCTTTTGTAATAAATGTTGTTATGATGTAAATATAATCACAAATAAAATAACCAAGTTTATCAGGATGCTGAGAAATTAAACCAGACATTTGTAACATTAAATTTAATGCTACTGATGTTAACCATTCACAACTTTTATTATTATTATTAATTGTAATAACTTTACAATGGTAATATCCAATAGACTCCAATATTTTAAAATATACTCTATGAAAAATATAATACCAATCTTCAAAAGTAAGTTTATCCATATAATCATCAATAATATGATTAATTGTTTGTAAAGAAACTGATGCAACTTCAATATATTGACTTGATGTTGCATGGGCATATGATACTAATACATTAAAAAATAACTCATTATAACTACTTCCAAAGGATAAGTCAACACCTTCAGGAATACGATTTTTTAAAATTGATTGTATTGATGCAAGAATAAATGGATGACTTGACTTTTCTTGAGTTAAATAACGGTCAGTAACAAGAGAATATCGAACCATTGTTTTAAGATAATAATAATCATATTTTCTATCAAATTGTATTTTCTTTTCATTAACATATTTTAATAACATATATCCACTTTTTATTACAGCAATATCTTCATCTAATGAAGCAATATATAATATTTCAAATATTTCTTTCCAACACATTTGAATGAATGAAGAGTTTTTATCAACACATTCTTTTAACATATCAAGTATTGTTATTCGACAACTATTTAGTGGTGAGTCACACATAATAATAACTATTTCCTTTAATAATTCTGATGATTCTCCAAAAACATTATTTTCATTAAAACTAAATATCATTTTAATGGCTTCTTTAGCTACATTTTCATGTGGATGAAGTCCACATTGAAGTAAAAATTCTTTAATAATATTAACAGTCTGAATATTAAATTCTTTATTGTTCTTAACCTTTCTTTCGTATGTTATATAACCCATTTTCTTCATTAAAAACATTGATGGTGTTAAATAATTTAATTCTTCAATTCCTGCTTCACATAAACATTGATAAATAGTTGTAATTTCATCTTCTTCACAATTTATTAATTGTTTAAAAATCTCTTTTGCTTTATCAATCCATTTTTTTAATTCTTTCTTCTTTGAATTAATTTCTGTTAATGATATAACTGGTACTTTATTTTCTTTAGGCTGATATAAACGATGTTGTACATTCATAAAAAACAATTTCCTTGTATTTTTAGGAACATTTACTAATGGTGAAAGAGCAACTTGCTCAGTTAATAACACTTGTTCTATTCTTGATAATAATGTAAATATATATTTCCATCCTTCCCCAATTTTTTCCTTCCTTTCCATTGCTAAGTCAATTACAACTTTTGTCATTTCTATATTTCCTTGATTCTTATTATTGGGGTGATAAAATAACCCCCACTCACAGAGCATCTTAATAATTAATGTTATTGATGTATCAAGCTCTAAATTTGCTGAAATACTTATCAATATGTTCATATTTTTAATTACATCATGTACGGTTTTATATTCTTCAAAAGCAATTTTTAAAGTTTTTAATGCTAGTGGAATTAGAGTCTCAACAAGTGATTTTAGAATATCTTTATTAACAATAGAAATAGGGGCAACTTCTTTTGATAAAGAGATATCATTAATTACTTTTTCAAAACCACTCGACACAGCTAATACTTCTTCTCTTTTTATTGGATTTGCCTTAACCATAGCAATTAATAATTTTTCATTACTCTTTTCTTCATTTTGGTGTTCAGGAATCAAAAATGCATTTTGTGTTACACTTTGATATAAAGGTTGAAGATAGTCGTCAGGTAGAGTAAAGTTAAATTGTTCAACCATCCCTTTAAATTTTTCATAAGTATCCATTGTCCTTGTTTTAACATTAGCATTGTGTGTTTCTGTAGATAAAAAGATAATTGTTGTTGCTAAGAAATAAATTTGATTTGACGTAATATTTAATTCATTAATTTTTTCATTCATACACTCGGCATATCTTATCGAAAACATTTCAATAACTCGATCAACTACCTGACCTTCTCCTGGCATAACAAATAAATTAAACATTGTCCTTAATGCTTCATCAATATTAAGTCCTGTAAAATCAATCAATTTCATATATTCTTTAAAAACCTCTTTATTTAAATCTTTATTTGAAGTAAGATATTTTCCTAGTGCTGTTTTGTCAATACCCTCTAATCTCATAAGAAATTGAGCAATTGAATCAGGACTATTAGAACATAAGTCTGTTTTAATCATATATGCTACTCCATCATTTGGTTTATTCTTAAATAATTGTTTCGCATAAATAACATCAACCTTTCTTTTTCTTTGCTTAAGTAATTCAATTCCCTCTTGACAATGTGATTGAACTGGAACTGAATTAATAATTTCTACTATTCCTTTTTCTTCTAGTTTCTGCATTGATTGTATTTGCATTTGAATAGATTCAATAACACTTTGAATAATTTTATATGCTGCTCTTCTAATCTCAATAATTTTTGATGATAATTCGTCAGGCGTTTCCATTTTGAATTGAGAAGAAAGAATAAAAGAAATTAATGACATAAATTCTTCAAATAAATTCATTCCAAATGTCATACAATCATAGTTAGTAAATAAATCAATAATAATTTGTGGTTGAGTTGCTAATTTTTGCATTTCATTTACAAGGAATAATTTATGACTAATGAAAGGTAATGGAGATTTAATAAAGAAGAAATATATATGTTTAGTAATAATTTCTATTTCTTTTTTAAAATACATTCTAAAACGATGAATAATTAAACTAAATATTTTAACAGATGTTATGAAAATAGGCTCTTCATTTGAAAATGTATTATGTGCAATACATTTACATAAATCCTGTTTCCATCCCTTAATAGAATTAGGACAAAATTCACTTGGACATTGGGACAACCAAAATTCTATCAAGTCTAATACTATTCTTTGCATTGTTAATGTCATTGGTCTTTTACCTGTCATTTGCTTATAATTACCTTTTAGTAATGTGTCTGATATTACAAATCTTTTTGCATGGTCAATAAGTGAAATCTTAGTTAAAACACTCAAAATAGCATAATGAGGAGGTAATTGTTTTTCATATAAATCATCTTTTTTATCTTCATCGTCAATCAGTTTTTTTAATTCATTGATTTCATTTTCAACTTTAATCTGTTCTGGATTAATTTGGTTATCTTCATTAATAATTTCTTTAACTTCTTCTTTCTTTATTTCTTCACTACTTTGAATAAATTCATCAAAAGATTCATCTTCATTTGATTTTGTTAACGTATTTGGTGATTCTAATGTTTGTATGGTTTGTTCTTCTATTGGTTTTTCATCTACTGGTTGTTGTAATTCATCTTCATGATATTGTTGTGAGTTATCACTTTCATCAAAAGGAGTAGAAGTTTCCATAGGTGAGACTGAAAGTGGTTTAGTGTTAAAATTACCATTTCTATTAGATGTTGTATATTGTGAAGATATAAATAAAGGGGATATTGCTTGTAATGGTTTTGGCTCACATCCATTAGGTAAGTTTGTTTCAACACTATACGACTTAAATAAAGAGGTAATATAACCTTGTATAATATTATTCAAAGAATGTTCAGTTGGCTATTAAACTAATTAATACATAATACTAAAATATATAAACAAAAACAAACATAATTAGGAGTTGATAACGAATAAAAGTCAATCAATAACTTAATATTTTCAATAACATATTTTGTTTCTAATTTAAAAGGTATAGTTGCATGAATGATTCTAGCAGAAAGAATCAAAATTGATTTATGACTTGAAATAATTTCAATAATAATATTATTATATAACATTGTTAATATTTTTTGACATGTTTCAACGGTAAGGTATTGTTCCTTAATTAAACTAACAATGCAATTAGCAAGTCGGTCAATTTGTTTTATTCCAAAATAATAAATAACCCCAGTTCTTATACAATTTTCAATAACATTTTGATTGTCTTGAATGAAAATATCTTCATCACTTTTCCATGATTGAATATTTTTTTTCAACGAGTCAATAAACTCAACCTGTTTTTTATCAATTAAACCAACCATTGTCTCTAATTTTTGTTTGATAATGTCTTTGATATCTTTAATGTTTTGTGCAATTTCTTTCTTTTTGTCTGACATACCAATAACAAAAAAATTGAATTACAAGATGAGAAGAGTTTAGAAAAAACACAAAATATAAATATCAGTTTATTATAATAATAGCATTTTTATTAATAAAGTATGTATTAAAATAAATGGGTTAGCACTAGAGTATAAACCAGTTGTTAAATACACATTCTTTTATTATTGTTGTAAAAGTATCGATGAAATTTGTTCTATTACATCAACTGACATTGTAGATAGATCCATTCCTATACACCAATCAGTGTTTTGAGGTGCTACAATTTCTAATATTTTTTCCAATTGTTGTTCAGTTGCTGAAGATAATTTTTCAAGAAGAAGTGAATGATTAGGAACAATGTCAGGTGTTTGGTCTATATTATCATTTTGAGAAGCTACAGGTAATCCTGGTGGTTCATTTTCACTCCTTGGAGAATTTGTTGAAGGTAATGGTTCTTTCATTTGAGCCAATAAATTCATTTGATTAAAAGAGACTGACCTATTTTAATTGAATATACACTTTTTTATAACGACTTTTATGATATTTATACAAACTTATCTGCCATTGATTCACAGAGTAAATCAACGTAATAATGATAAGAGAAGAATAAATTAAATTTAGTTTCGTTATCAATCGTAGTTGAACCCATAAATTCACGTGCTGCTGAAACCATTTTAAGTAAAAACTCTTCAAAACTTTGTGTTTCAAAAACTTCCTTATACCTTCCTTTCATTATAAGTTCACTGTTCGGTATTGCAACAATAATTTGTTTAAGTTTTGTCATAAAATCAGATTTTAATGGTGGGATATTTGGAGAGTTAGACATTCGCTCGTTTTTAAGTTTTTATTTTAAAAATTTGTCTTTTAAGATTTTTTTACTTATTTTATGTTTTTAATTTTTTGTGATAATTCACAAAATTATCATGTTTTTGAAAAAAAAATGTTATTATGATTAAAACAAAAAATAATAAATTTGTGTTATTTTAAAAATATTTTATAATTGTTATATTTAACACGTAAAAACCAGTTAATTATGTATTAACAGAGTTATTCTTCCTTATTCTATGGGTACTAATAAAAACAATTGTCTTTATTAAAATATCTTTCTTCTCAATTTTATTATTTCTTTGTTCATTACATTCATTTCTTTATTGATTAACTAATATATCATCATTTTCTGTTTTGATTGTTATTAATTATTATATATTTCATTTGTATTAATAATATATTTCTTATTTTATGTGTTTTTTTCTTCATAAGAAAGAAGGGAGAAATTAATGTGTTCAATTCTATTTATCAAACTAACTAAATCAAGGTAATATTTATTCTCCAATTGATTATTGACAACACCCTTCATCTATTTAAATGATAGAAATGATAATTTAATACATTTATTATTGATTTGAAATATTTAAAACATTTTTAATAGTTATTTGTTTAAAAACATTAATATAATTTATAGTAAAGTATTTATTATTAAAATTCAATTTTATGTGTTGAAGTGACTATGAGTTATGAACAGACAAGACGTTAAAAAGTTTAACATGACTTATAGAATATTATTAGAAAACATCATTTAGTTATTGATAATTCATAAACATTGTTTTGCATTAAAAGAAACTTAAAATAGTTTCAAATAAATAGTTAAAACAACAAACTAAAATTATTATAAAAATAGAATTTGCCTATTATTTCATTTTTAAATATTTTTATCATAGTTTATTATTTCTTTTGAACTGAAAAAGATTTTTAAAAATTAAAAAAGTATATAACTATTTTTAAGGGTTTTAATGATGTTAAATCTTTTTAAAAATTTTTAGTTAGAAACGATATGGATAGTAGCACAAAAAAACTTTTACATTGTATCTTTGAAGTTATTGTCTCATCTATTGAATGTAATAACCAAGAAGTTCTTATAGACTTAGTCAAAACTGCAATAGAAAACGATGTTAATATTTCACAATTAATAGAAAATAACAAATTTTTATTTCAAGAACCTGAACAAAAAAGTTATAGTATTGATGATGACTTTTATGGTTATGTAACTTGGATTAATTGTTTAACAAGAGAAAATTTTATAGAAGTTATTATTCAAAATTTTAATGATGATCAATTTATTCAAATTATAAAGGAAATGATAGAAAAAGATTTATTAGAAAATGACAAGAAGAAAATTGCAAAAAAAGTTGTTTATAAGGAAAATTCTGATTATCACTTCATTAACTCTTCACTAAATTCTCAAGTAACAAATGAAATGATTACAGCAGACTATTTAGATTTTAAAAACAGTATAGAAGAAGAACTTATGAAGAATAAATGCGTTGAAGATATGTCAGAATCTAATTTAAAATCAAATGGTCAAGTAATAAAGAAAAAAATGTATAATTCAATGTTAAATGATTATATAAATGAGAAAGTTAATAAACACAAAAAATTGATTGAAGAGCATCTTGGATGTGGTGAATTATCTGTATCATTCGATAGTGAACAATTAGACAAAAACAAGTTAGATAAAATTATTCTTCCTCAAGTAGAACAACAAACAGTTGTTACTCTAATCAGTGATGAAGGAAAATTAATTTCTATTTATTCTAAAAAATCGAATATATCTTTTGCACGTCCTCCAAAAAATAATACATTGTTACTTTTTAATGAAGATGGTATTTGGAAAGAATGTAACAAAAGCTCATTCCTTTTTATCAATAATAATCAAATTAACTTTTGTGACAGAACATCAAATTCTCTTATTGAATTAAATGATACAAAAATCGATACAGAATTTAAAGGTGAGATTTTGGATTTTATTGGAGAAAGTAAATGGAATATTATACGAATTATAATTTATAATAAGTCTCTTAAGAGTAGTACTGTAAATACTATTGATAAAATATCTATGCCTGTACCTTCAAACAATAAAGTATTAAAAACTATTCTTGAAAATAGGTTTAAAGTAACTGATATTAGAAATGATTATAAAAGAATTAAAGAGTTTTATAAAACTAAACCACCATATCTTCATTCTCAACTTGATTTTTATGTTCAAACTGAGAATAACATCGTTGGATTTTATGCTTATGAAAATACAATATCCTTCTTTGAATATGACCTAAATGAAATTGACAAACAAAACGCTCAAAACTATTCAAAAAATTCTATTACTCGTTATTTCCAAAAACCATCATATAATAACTTTGAAATAACTCCTTCTGAACCAGTTATATCATTCGACACACCAGGATTTATTTTGATTACTCCACTTTTTTCAATATCTAATCAGTTGACCATCACTAAATATCCATTCAACTCTAAACTTTATTCTCCAATGTTCCAAAGTAATTCTTTTTTCATTAAAGAACCAATTTCACAAAAAGTAATAGACATAGCTTACCTATTGACAGAAAGACAATAAAATTAAACAATTTCTTTTATTTTTAATGTTTTACGTGAGACTTATTCAATTGAAGTTATGAAATTGATAAATAACTAACTTTGTTAAATGCAATGAGCTTTACTTAATAAAAATCAATAAATCATTTTTTTTATTTTCTTATTATAACATTCTTTAGTCTTTTTTTAAATACAGTAAAAGATATTATAATAATAAAAATTATTTCATACCATCAATTACTTGATATAATGAAATGTAATTAAACAGTTTTTTCTGATGTTATGCAATGAAGTAGATGTTGTAAAATTATATTTTGCATTTCTTTATATCATTTCCTGAATATAAAATTTATTACTTCTTCACTTCAATATGTATTTCGATCAATTTGTATCTTTTTTAATTATTCTGTGTACAATAATATACATAGTAGATATTATTTTCTTTGTATAATATTTCAATTATTTGGCATTTTTCATTATTTGGTATATCAATTTTTCTGAATTAAGTTATTAATGTAATTCTTGTAATTAATATTTAAATCGAATTGTTACCTTCAACACTTATTCTACATTAAACTAATACATCAGTATATTCATTCTTTATATGTTTGCTATTTCTCTTGATTTTTATTCATTTCTTATATTATCACTTTTTCTCTTATAATTTCTTTTATCTTCTTCTTCCTTCTCTTTTAGTCTTTTTTTTTCTTTATTCTTTATGAATATTCATTTCTTATTTCTATTACTCTCTTTATTCTTGGATTAATATTTTCATTTTGTTATTTTTATCTATTATCCATTTCAATTAGAGACTTATTATCTGTTTCTTGTTATAACATCATTGTTTATTATCTGTATCATCATTATTACAACTACTTTTTGTTATTGAAGACTTTTTTAACTCAATTATTTATTATATTATTTGTTTGGTTTTCTTTACTTCCTTTATTTCATATTTCTATTCATAATTATTTATAGTGATTATTATTTACTCATACGTCATTTCTTTTTTTTTCTTTTGCTATATTCTCATATATCATTATACATTACTTCTTCTTTTATTATCTTATTATTTGATTGAATTATCTTTTTATTATGTTATTTGAATTTCATATCTTCTGGCTTTCTTTTCGTGTCATTCCATCATTACAAACTAAATGACTTATTTATAATTTCTATAATCATATTCTTTTGTTAATTGTATATATTGAATTTTGAATTGTTTTCATTAAATATATTGAAGTAGAGTCATGAAATAATATAAATATGATAAAATACATAATTGAAAAGAAAAAAATACAATAAACATAAAATATATTTTTCAACTAATGTTTTATTTTAAAAACTTTAGAGAATAGATTTTTAATATTCAAAAGGTATTGAAAGTATAACTTGCCTTAACTAATAAACTGACGATTTATTAATACATACTAATGAAAGAAAAAAAAAATGAAACCCAATGAAGAATATGAATTGAATATAGTGACTATCAAGAATAAAGCTATTCAAATAACAAACATAAGTTGATTGAAAATGTTAGAAAGAAGAAAAATATTCAAAAGAATAAAAATGTATGAAGGTACTTCTATAATGTTAAAACATTTTACATTGAAATAAATAACAAACAAAGAATGTGAAATGTTATTATTAAACAAGTTATTTATAAAAAAGAAATTAAAAAATAACACAATAATTATTTTGTACATACAGTCTTGTTTTTGATAAATAAAAGTTTTATTTAAAGAAAATGAAATACAGGAAGAAGAATAAATAGGAAAATAAGTTAGCTATTAAAACTAAAAAATAACCCAATCGTGTTAATGAAAAGAGAATAAAAAATCTAAAAACATCCAATGTTTCTAAATAAAAATTTGATGATCTGGTTAATTCTACAAAAAAAAAAATGAACCAAAAAAGAAAGAGAGAAATGAATAGAATTAGAACAGTATAAAATCAGGAAAATAAAAATAAAAAATTCAAAAAAAGAATAAAACAGCCTGTCGATAGTAAAAATTACTATCAATCTTCTCTCTTCATTTTATAAAAAGAAATCTTTTTATTTAATAAATTACAATGCAAGATTTGGTTGTTTGATTCTTTATATTAATTTTATTCTAAAAGATTTACATAATAGTTTGAATTTCCTGCTGTTAATACTTATTTAGATTCTTTTTCTTCTCTAACTGCTGGATGTATTTCCTTTTTTAGTGAAAAAGCATCAATTGAAACAGAATATGGATCTCGATTATTAAACTTAACTAAAGTGCCTTTAAAAAGAGTATTTCAACGTTATAGTCCAAAAGATAATATGTCTTCGTTTGTTTTATTATTTTTATTAAATTATTTTAAAATAAGCAACAAATATTGTCAGATTTATTTCATTTACTAACTAATATTTAGTACTATGAAAGAGTTTATTGACAAATTTATTTCTCAGAATAAAATTATGGCAGAATGTCATTTAAATGCTGCACAATTTATAGAAAAGAATATTGTCCAAGCTACTAAAACTAGTGCCCAACAATTAGAAACTAAAATGAGTGTAATTACAAATGAAATTAATAGAAGAATTAAACAGCATAATGATATGGTTAGTACTGTTGAAAGAATTAAAGAAAACAAACAAAAAGCATTAAACCAATTAAAAAAGCTTAAAGAAGAAAAAAAAGGAAAAAGTGGAAAGACTTATCAAAAGATGAATTGTAAACAAGACCAAATAGTTGAAGACATTAAAAAATATAATACTAATCTAAAGAATTGTGTTATAATTACTAATAAAATTAGAGAAAATGTTTATGGTAAAGAAATGAAATGTATGTTAAATCAAATTGAAGGTATTGCATCAGAATGGAATGAATTGTTGATTAATATGTTTACTTTAGGAAATGATCTTGATATAGAAATATTAAAAAATACAAGTAAATATTGTCTTAAAACTCAACAATCAATTCAAAAAATAAATTGGACGAATGATATTGAAGAATTTGTAAATAAATGGAAAAATGTTCATTCTGTTAATGACATTATACTTACTTCAAATGACCTTGCTTTAGATGATCATATCCTTTGTGATGAATCTACATTAGAAATGATTCATAATAATGGATCAAGTGGTACTCAAACAAAAGAATGTCCCTCAAACTATTTACAAGTTACTCTCTCAGAATAAATAAATTGAAATGTTCAGAATAATAGAAATAAAAAACATTCAATTCAATTTGTTTTTGTTAGAAAAGTCATATAAAAGATTTCAAAAATTAAAAAGAAAAAAGCAACTACAATTATTTTGTAGAAAAGATATTTTTAAATATTTTTTTCTTTATTTTTTAAAAGAATGTGTTGTGTGGAGATCGAAGGTGGCACGTCTGAAACACCACACACAAACCCTAGTACAAATTCATTCTTCGACTCTCCCAGTTATTATCTGGTTATGACGGTGCCTTTGAATTAGGAATGTATTAGGGAAGCTGCAAAGGGTGCAGCAAGAGAATACAGTAGAATATTACATGGATGTAATATAAGAATCTACTGAAGTGTGGGTATGACTAAAAGAAGATTAGTCAAAGTAAGACTAAAAAGAAGATTAGTCAAAGTAATACAGTAGTAATAAAATGATTCCTTCTTCCATTCATAAAATAAGAAAAATGAAATTCCTTAAAATTAAGGCAGAAAACAAACAAAGGCTTAAAAAGAAGAAATAAGCAGAAGAAGTTTGAAAAAACCTTAATAGGAAAAATAAAGCAAAGAAGTGCTTTCCTCATTTTGCAAGACAAACCTAAATGATAGGTTCAACAAAGAGATTACTCTTTTTTAATAAGCTCAGGGATGGGATTAGTCTCCCCTGAGCTAGGAAGAATAGATGAAAATTCTATTAATACTTAATTAACTAATTTTTATTTAAAAGAATGTGTTGTTAAAAGTTTTTTTTTATTTTCCAATGAAAAATGTTCATTGGATTTATAACCTTTTATATCTTTTTTTCTAAGTAATAAAAAAAATGATATTAACACTAAAATATAATACTCTTTATATTGACTCTAATCAATGTCTTTTTTTTTGTATCATTTTTATTTAATATAAGAAACTAAATAAAAAATAAAAGTACTATTTTCTTTTTGGCTTAGACTTATTTCTATTGAAATTCTATTTTAATAATACATGTCGTTTTATTCTTATCAAAATAAAGAAGTAATACAACTTTTATTAATAAAGTGAACTAAATCAATTAATATTCTATAATAAAGAAATATTATTTTCTTCTTTTTCTACTCACTCTTCTTTAAAGTTTCACTTTGTATTGATTTGTTGTAATTTAATATGTTAAGTTTTGGTAATAATTTACAAATTTCATTTATCTCCTTTTGACGATACTTTTTTTTTATAATAAGTAGTAAATTATATTAATTTTACTGGTTTTTCTTAAATAAAAAAAAAATTCTTTTTTAACATCTTCAACATATTATTTAAAACATTAAAATATATCTATAAAATAAACGCTATATTTTTTTAATCATATTAATTACTACAACTATCTCACAACAAAATAACAAGATACTTTAATGAATTTTTCAATAAATTAATGAATAAATATTCTTAAACTCAGAAAAAGATAATTTATTTAAGAAAATAAACTTAAACTATTGAAATAAATTATTATAATAGAAATACTAAAAAACAAAAAAGAACAATTTCATACAATAAAATAAAAAAGAAACTTATTACTTAATTAATTTTTTAAACTCACACAAATTATTAAAACAATAAAAAAGGAAAAAACCTTTTTTTTAAATTTCTTCTTTTAAAATTCTCTTTTTTTAGTATTTTATTGATGGAAAACCAGTTATAATCAGTTAAGAATGGAACTTGTATTATTATTTAATTGTTTTAATAATAATGAATAAAAAACAAGGATGTTGTACATTATTTACAATTGGGTTTTATATCTTTATTGCATTAGTAATAATAGCATGTATTGTATTATATACATTTGTAATGCTAAATGACCAATATGATGATGTATTAAAAATCAATGTTTGTATCGTAATTAAGGGGTTTATATTTTTATTTACTTATAAAACAGATTTTAGGGGAGTCAGAAAAAACAAAGGTATGTGGTTATAGTAATCAGGATGGATTTAAAACTTTTCAATTTACAATTGGTTTGTTATTATTTCTTTACAACTAAGGAAATAAAAATTAATTAAATTTAGTAAATAATAATGATCATACATTTCAATGTGGATTTGAACCAGCACTTTCATACTTAGTATATTTAACATTATTTCTCTCTTTAGGAGTAGTTATTTCAATAGTTGTTGCAGGTCTAGTTTTTCGAAGGGCATCATATTCATTTGGGGTTTGTTTCATTATTTAAAGTAATAACGTTTTAGTAACAAAAAAAAGAAGTAATAAGTAGTTATTTATATTTGGAGGTATAACAGCAATTTTGTTTATTGCAATAATATGTTGGCAAATATATGAAGTAAAACGAGGGTATAACTATTGTACAGATATAATTTCTTCATCTTTTAAAAATAAAAATATTTCTATAAAATGTAAATATACCCCATTTATTATTCCAATGATATTAGAATTTGTATTATTTCTTAGCTTTGTTTGTTTTTTTTATTCATTTAAAAAACAGAAATACATTTTATAAATTAACTTTTTAGGTATTAAATCCTATTATTGGTTGTCAATATATTCTTATAACAAAACCTTATGTTCCAAAAAAACGTCAAGGGACTCCAGAGTATGAAATGAAACAAATTGAAGATGATGAAAAGGAATAAAAGTTATGTATCAACTATTATTTTTAATTAACATGTTATTTCTTTTTATAATTATTTCAAAATTATGTTCGATTGATTCAAAAATTATTAAAAACAAAAAAAGAATAAACAAATTTTAAATGATTCGTTTTCTTCAATTATACTAAAGATTATTGTATTATTCTGATGACATTAAAAGACCAGTAATTGGTATATGGACCAGTTTAATAAAATATCCACAAAATCCAAGAATAGCAAATCCAATTAAAACAACATAAATTGTTTTATTATATTCTTTTTGATTTGGTTTATTACATTTAGTAATGAATCGTTTACTATCTAAAATAAATTCTTCAGTTGGTTCTAAAACGTATTGCTCAAGAGTATCCATTATTTATTTTTATTAATTTATAGTTCTTTTTATAGTTCTTATTTGAAAAAAAAATCATCATCATTTCTTTTTTCTCATTCAATCTAATCATTTTACTTTTCATTTTGAATAAATTCATATAAAAACTATTTTTGATAAACTCAAAAAATAACGGAATATATAACACAAATAAACTCATTCATCATTTAATCCAAATAAAATTCCATTAAATCTATCATCATCAAAATCAGGATGTTTTTCTTTTAATTTAAAATAAAGACCACCAGTAATCAAACTATCTGAACCAGCTTGATGCATTGTACCAATTCTTTGAACTCCTAAACTAGAAGCAATTGCTTGTAAACTACCATGATAAGTTTGACTAATTTGATTAGTAACATGTTTGAGGTCAATAATATTAGGAAAGAAAATACATAGTTTTGTAAAGAAATCATCAATAGAAGAAGGTAATTTCTCACAAGTTAATAATCGTAATAAATAACCAAAGTCATATCCACTATGAAATGTTAACCAATGAGTATTTTCATTTAAAACTAGTCCTGAAGTCATAATTGTTTCTCCAAAATCTTCTTCAGTAATTCCAGCATTTTTAAAATATGGAAAATTAATACCTGCTTTTTGTAATAATTGAATTGAATCAGCAGAACATTCATCTTTGTCAGGATCAAATTTAAAATTAAACTGCCATGTTCTAACACCTTCTGGATATTCACCACGTTTGTTTTGTAAAGTAATACCAACTTGAATTATTTTTAATTCATCTACATTTCCTTTTAAAAACGAATAATGTTCTTCAGGCTCAGCTGAGTCTTGCATATTACAAGATGTTCTACTTGAAAATCCTGGAAATTCTGTGTCCATAGATACATATGGAAAGTCATCAATTAATCGACTAATATTCATCATTTCTTCTTGTAAATTATTTTGATAAACATCAATGAAATAATTGTTTGGGAAACTAACATCTTGAAAGACATATGAAGAAAATTGTCCTTGACTTAATTGAGCAAATCCCTGCATTGAAAAAGGTGGATAAAAATGACTTGTATTAAGAAATGGATATTCCATACCATTATAACTTTGCATTATTTTACTAACTTCTTAATTTGTTAATAAGATGATGGATTTAATGGTTACGTTCTTCCAAATCATCACTTTCTTTGTTTTTTTATTAACTTTCTTTAATTTTATTTAATATTGATTTTATTTCTTAAATAATATTTGTATAAAAATTTATTAAATAAATAATAAAATAAAATTCCACACAACAGATCAGACTTAATTTATTGTAAGTATTTGAATGGTCTTTCTTTTTGGCTGACAACTTTTGGTGCAGTAACAACATCAGCTGGAATTTCAACTTTAACAGCTTCAGTAGATGGTTTAACTGCTTGTTGCTTATTAGTCTTCTTAACAACTCTCTTTGGTGGAAGTCTATTTCTTCTATCAGTTCTAGATCTAACTCTAACTACTCTTCCATGAATACCACATGAAACACAATATTCTAATTTCATATAAGTCTTTGGTAATTTATATTTGGTGAGAGCTGAATTATCAGAAATATCACGGACAGCAGCGGCTTCTACAATATTTTTAATTTGATATCTCTTAATAGCCTTATCCTTTGGAACACATCTTCCACAATGGCTGCATCTAACATTTTGGGTATGTCCTCTTCCTTTCTTTGATCTTCCGTTGTTTCTTCTCTTTGAAGTCATCTCTGTGTCAATCTCAGTCTTTTTTCTCTGTTTTTTGAAAACCCTTTTAGTTATTCTATTTTTTTTAATTTATTTGTTATTAATTTTTAATTTATCATTAATTTATTATTATTATATTATTTTTTATTATAATTATTCTATTTATGATTCTTTTTATATTTACATATTTTATTTCTTCTATTATACATTCATTTTATGTAAATTATTATTAGTAGAAATTAACATTAATTATTCATATTATTTAACTAAATTTGATTTTAGTAAAAAAATATTATCAGATTGTATTTTTTCTTGTTTAATATTTTACAATAATTTAAATGACATTTGATAAACTATTATTTCCAAATAAAGAAGGAAAAAAGAAAACAATATGAGATAAACCATTATTTCACAAATTGAAGATGACAACTCACTGCCACGAATGCATTATGAACTAACTTTAGAAAGGATATTATATAAACTAATTTTGAGAGATGAATCTAGAGTTAATATTTTTATCCATAAATTAAGAAATTAAAATAATAGTAAAAATAAATTATAAATTTAATTTAATAATAATGGTTCATTGTTACACTGCGAATTATCTGGAGAAAAGAAACCACAGAAGAAGAAGTTCCCAGGAAAAAAGGAGTTCTAACTCTACATCTAGAAATGAAGAAGAGGTGAAAGACAGGATAAAAATAAAATTAGAACAAAGATTAAGAACTTACGAATATTCTTAGACATATTTAATATTCCAGTTTCTTGTTTTCTTACAGAATGGACGCTAAAGTACTTGCTGGAATTTCTGATGCAAAACTCAAACATACTGAAACTGTTGATAAAAGTGCACCAGTTATTGAAAATGTAGAAATTAAGAAAGGTGATAGAAATGAACTTCTTAGTGGAATTAAAGAAGGTAAAGAATTAAAGAAAGTTGAAAGTAATGATAGATCTGCACCAGTTATTGCTGCTGATGCTAAACTTCAAGAAAACACAAGAGGTGCTCTTCTTGCTGATATTCAAGCCAAGGCTAAATAAGTAGATTATAGGATGATATAGTTCTTATTTACTTTTCATTCAATTCTTTTATTTATTTTATTTTGTAAAAACAAATTTTTAAAAACAAGATTTAATTAAAATCATTTGTCTTTGATGAATATTTCTTTGCTAACATTGCAACAGAAGATGGTACTGATGGTTTTGGTGGATGATATTTTTTATATTCATTTTCTTTATAACATGAATATTGGTTTTCCATTTCATCAATAGAAATTTGTGAATGTGATGGTTTTAATTTTTGACATGTTTCATTTGGTAATATTTTATGTGGAGAAGATAATTCTGTCTGAGACTTTGTGTTATCTTCATTTACTTTACGTAGTGTAGATATTGTTTGTTGTGTTTTGTGTATTTCTTTTTGTTGATTTCTTATTAAACCAATTGAACGTGGAGAATTTGGACATGAAGATGATATTTTTCTTTGATGATTTGGTATATCTTTAAGAGGGATTGTTTTCTTAGGAGATAAGAACGTCTGTTTTTGAGGAGAAATAACTTCTGAATGTTCTACCACTTTTTGTTTTATTTGAAGTACATTTTGACTCAATGTTCTTCTATACAAATTTTTATCTACATCATCAGGAAAAATAGAAGGATAATTTTCTATTACAAATGTAATAAAAGAAATAGATAATGATGTGGATTCTAATGTTTCATTTGGAATATGAATAACTACTGGAGCAATACACACAGCCAAATTTTTTGCATTCATTAAATTAATATCACTATATGTATGAATTTTATAACAAAGTTTCATAAATTGAGAGAACATTGTAAAGTGAGAAGGAGGAAGAGATTGAATAAGTGCTATTGCTCCTGATATTTTATCTTTCAAACCATATGTTGCTTCTGAAACATTTTTCCATGTCTCTATTAATGTAAGTGCAGTATTAATATCAACAACTGGTTCTATCATTCCTCTCATAAATGATTTTAAAACAGCAGCTGTTACTTCAGGTGGGTATTGTTCAAAAGAAGAAAAACTAATAGATACAACTAATTTATCAATAGTATCTTTATTAGCAAGACTATTTTCTCTAAATATACCTTTTGTATAACATCCTTTTGTATATAATATTTTAAATATTTCTTCAATTGCTCTTGGTAACTGATTTACTGTTCTTCCTTCAGCAGTTAATATTGATATTAATGGTTGACTATAAATAATTGTTTTCTCTAAAGAAGGTTCGTCTAATTGAGAATTCTAAAAAAATGAATTTTGTATTATATCTAATAACATTAAAATTAAATAAAACAAACAAGTACTGCTTTGTTATACATATCCTGATATATATTTAAATCTGGAATATATGTTTTTCCTAATTCATAATGTGAAACAAATACTCTAAAATAATCAACAAAAAATAATGGAGTTTGAACTTTTAAATATTCATGAATTTTATGAGACTGAAATGCTGTAATTTCATTTATTTCATTCTTTTTTGCTTCTTTAATTGGTTTTTTTAATTCATCAATTTTGTTATTTATAATTTTGGTTGGTTGTAAAATAAGATCTTGAAATTGTTTTTGTAACATTAAAAACGTATCACAAACTGATCTAAATCCATTCAAAATTGTAGAAAGAGATCGTATATCTATAACTCAGTACTAAATTTGTAGATTATTAAAATATTAACAAACCTATATGAATTGGTTTGGGATTAATTTGTGTAACAAAACTTTCAATATAATTCCCATAACTTATCATTAACCCAGTAAGCTTTTCAATTTCTCCATCAACCGCTTTTGAAAATTTCATTTGTTTTTCCCAAAAACTACAACTTTCATCAATCAGTTTTAGATTAATTTTATAACTCGTCATAATATTCTTATTTTTTAGTTTTCTTTTTCTTTTTTTTTTTAACGAAAAAATCTAAAAATAGTAAAAAAAAAACGAAAGTCAAGATTTTTTTAGATATAATGAGAATCTTAAAATCAAAAAAAAAAAAGAAAAACTCCTTAAAATTACTTTTTGTATGGACCTTCAAATCCTTCAAAATCAGTTACTAGGAAAAATGGATAGAAGATATACCTCTCAATCATTGAACACCAATTCCAACTAGAAGTTAACCTACCATCAATACAACTTCCTCCATCTGATCCACTTCCATCAAACCCATGTTGGAAAAAGTCACGATAAATTAACGTTGACCATTGTTCTCTAGTGTATGTTGTAAAAAAGTTATCTAATCGTTTATTATTATCTTTAATAATACGTGTAGTTGTCTTTACAATTGGTGCAACAATCCATGGTACTTGTGAATATTTATCAATAAAAAATAAACAATTTGGAACATCTTGATCTCCCATATGAACTACACTTAAACCTCTCCACCCATCATTACATAATTTTTGTTTTGTATGTGCTAAAATTTGATGCATAGCTTCAGACACATTAGGTGCTGATTGCATTCTTTGAAGACCTTGACCAGTATTTACTAAGGAATAATTACTTCCACTAAGAAATTCTTTATCAGTAATATTCCATAATAGTGGCATATTTTGCATAACATTCCACCATAATGTTAAACTTTGACTAACAAAGATAAATTGTTCTGAATGATTATGACTTATTCTACTTCCTCTAACACCCCACTTAATTGATAAATCAGTAAATGGTGTTGGTTCTTGATATCTTGTTTTAAGGTCATGTAACATTTGATGAACAACACCACACATAGATGCAGCAGATGCAAACCCATCTGAAATACTTAATAACATTCTTTCAGTTTCACCTCCATATTTTGCAATAATTTCTTTTCTAGCATTTTCTCTTTCAATACCACTTCCTACAGCAGGTAATACAGCAACTCTAAATTTTGGTTCATTGAAGACTTCTTCTAAATGATTTTCTTTAGCAAATAAACCAACAGTAAGTATTTCTTTAAACTTTTTTGTTTGTTCAAATTCTGGACCAATAAAACTGGGGTTATATAAAATAGCATCTTGAAGAATATGCATCATTTTTTGATATGTTGTTCTCATTAAATGTGGATTACTGATTTTAAATCGTCTTCCAACTTCAAAACAATTTTGAATACATTCTTCCAATAATGCTGGATTATGTAACAACTTAATACAATCTCTATAACTATTTCCCATTAATAACCCAATTATAATTTGTTTTAATTCTTGGTGTTGTTCTTTAATAATTTGCTGTTTAGTTCTTTTATTAATACTAACATCTCTTTGTGAATAATAACTATAACTACCAAAATAATACATCCCATAATCAGACCGTGCTACATCAACATTATCAGTATATTCACTTACGTCTAAAGCAGAATCAAGTACCTCTAATAATATCCTTTCTTTTTCATTAAGTCTCATAGGATGATATTTAATATAATGTTTAAATAAAACATCAGGAATCTTCATTAAATGCTCTCGATATGTTATTTCATATTTATTTTCATCTCCTTCTTCAATTAGTCCTTCTATTCTATTACCTTGTTTTATGTAATTGTCTTCCCCATAACTATTGATATCTCTTGATTCATCTTCATCCCAACTAACAATGTTTCCCATTGATTCCATTTACTTTTTTGAGTTTTTAGTTTTTATGGGTTTTCTCTCTTTTCTGTTTTAACAAATAAATAATGTTATAATTAATTGTAATGTATTATAAAAGAAAGCTAGCTCTTAATTACCAAAGAACTTAGCCAATCAAGAAAGAAATAATATAAACTTTATAATTTAAAGTAAATTTATTTTGAATAGTTTGTTAAGAGTTAAGTAATAATAACAAAAATAACAGAATAATTAATATCACTGTTAGTACAAAATGAATAATTCTTGAAATATTAAAAATTCAATACACTTAAATTTAAGTCATAGATAAATGCTTCTAAAGCAAAAAAAAAAACAAAAAGAATAATTAAATTGAATAACCCGTTGTAGAAAAACTTAAAAAATTTATACTTATTTAGCTATTCTACTTAATATATTTTATTGATATACATATGAAAATAAAGTCGTTGTAAAAATGTATCAAAAGCACCTGGAAGACATAGCCTAATTTGTTTAATATAATATGAACTTGATTCTCCAGGTAAAATCTTTGAAAGTACTCCTGCTGCAAATAATCCAGTCCTTCCTTTCCCACTATTACAATGAACTAATACAACTTCACCATTTTCTAGTACTGCTTTAATTCTATTTACCATTGAATCATATAACGCTCTATTTTCAGGAATCCAATAATCAACCATTGGACAATGAAGATAAGTAATTCCATGAGACTCTAACGCTTGTTGATAACCATTCATATTTAATCGAGTAAGGTCATTATTTGTTAAACAACACACTACTGTAGTAATGCGTTTATTTGTCAGTTGTTGAATGTCATTCTCTAATACCCTTCTTCTAAAATGATTTGTAGAACCTGGCGCATATGAAAAATACATTACCCCATTACTTGACATATCCTCTGTTAATTGAGTAAAACCAATGTCATCTGTAGATATATTATTTGGTGGTTTAGAATATGTTTTATTCAAAAACAATATGTAGCAAACAAAACAATATACTGTGAAATAAATAGAAAATAAGGAATGAAGTAAGAAGAAGATATCAATAATTAATGTTAGTATAATAATAATTACCATTATCCATGTATCAAATGACTATATTGAACATTAATATTTTTTGTAAATAAATACAACAAATAACAAACATCTAATGAAAATAGTTGTAAAAGTGAAAAAACAACTGGGACAATGTTTAAATATCCCAATAACACAACTACGATTAAAACCATTCTAAATAAATGGTTCATAATTTTGATAGAACCAAATGAAATTAACAGACTATACACAATCGTATAACAACACAAAAATATTGTTCCTGGTTTGTTATCTTCAATTTGTTGATCAAATAAATCAGTAGAAAATCCAACAATTATAATACCTATAGAACAAATAAATTCAATGAAAGCAATAACAGAACAAATAAGAGTGATAACAACCATTAATAATTTGAGATTCAAATTATCCTAAAAGAAAAATTTTTTTGTAAATAAAACAAATTGTTATTTTTTGTTATTTATTGGTTTATATTTAATCTTAAAATCTAAAAATAATAATCTTAAAATAAACCCTAAAAAATTACTATCTAACAATAAAAATATTGTTATATAAAAAAAAAACTAATTACTCAGAATATTTGTAAAAATCTATCTTAGGCTTTTTTTATCTAAATGAAGAGAACTGAATAAGCTAAATTATATATAAATATGGGAAGAAGTTCATCGTCAAGTAGTTCAAGTAGTGAGTCACCTTCTTCTAGTTCATCAGCTTCTTCTTCTTATTCAGAAGAACGGTACTCTCGTGATAAAAAAGAAAAGAAAAAATCTGAAAAGAAACCAAAAAAGGAAGGGGCACGTGAATTAAAAAGAAGAAAAAAAGAAGAAATTGCAACATTAAGTAAAGAAATTTATACTATGTTTGTTAAAAGAAGTCTTTTAGCTTCTGGTTTGTCTGAAGAAGAAGCTGAAAAAAAAGTTGATAAAAGGTGGAAAAAAGCAGGGCATGAAGTTAAAGTTGTTTATGAACAATTAGCATATATTGAATCAGTATTAATTGGAAATGCTGCTGTAATGAAAAAGAAACGTAAAGCAGATACATCAAGAAGAAAAGAAGATTGGCATCCTTATCTTTTATTTTGTAAAGTTAAAAGAGATAGTGTTGTTAATGATGGTATTAGTGGAAGTGCTGTAATGAAAAGATTATCAGTGATGTGGAAAAATCTCAGTGATAAAGAACGAGAAAAGTATACAGTTTTAGCAAAAGAAAATAAAAGAAAGGATTTAGAAAAAGAAGCAAATGAAGAAAAAGCCCTTACTGCTTTATCTTCAAGAATTATTACTAATGACCTTAACACCCCTTCTTCCCAACAAAATCTCACTATTCCTGTAGTATCTGCTTTACCTATCCCAATGAATATTGTTACTGAAATTAATTTAAATGAAGAAATGAATCTTTCTATTCCCTCTAGACTACCTCCTACAACAATACAACCCTCTTTACAGCCTTCTCTTCAATCTTCTATTCCTAGAACTATAGCACCACCTGCACCCTCTGGTTCAATGTCACAATGAAAAGTGTTTAATATTCATCTCATAAATAATTACATATTATTTATATTAATAAACTATATTATTTTTGGTTATTCATTATAATAATAAAAATAAAATATATATTAAAATAATTGGTAAAAACAAATTAGCCACGAAAAGCCAACATAATTATTAAAATATGGTTTTTAGCTGAACTAATTAATTCAGTTAATTATTCTTTTATGGTAGAAGAAGTTCCTATTGTTCTTGATATTGGTTCTTACAGTATAAAAGCTGGAACTGCAGAAGATGAAGCACCATCTTGTATTATCAGAAATGTTATTGGAGAACATGAAACTGGAAAGATTTATGGAGAAAGTGTTTTTAATAATAACATCAAAGACTATCATTATCCTATTAATAGGGGAATGATCTCTGACTGTGATGACATTGAAGGAATTTTACGATTTGTGTTTGATGAAAATATGGGTGTTGATGCTTCAACAAGACCAATTATTGTTACAGAAGAAGCTCTTTGTCCAAATTTAAGAAAACAAGAATATGGTGAATTATTCTTTGAGAAGTTTGAAACCCCAGGTCTTTACTTTGAACTAACTGGAAATTGTGCCTTAATTCCACTTGATCTTGAAACTGGACTAACCGTAGACTTTGGAGAAAGTTTTGTTAGTATTTTCCCATTCTATAATGGTACTTACATTTTTAATGCAAGTGATAAACAATGTTTTGGTGGATTAGATTGTTCTACTCATTTAGCTAGTATTTTAGCAAAACAAGGATATACTCTTAATATTGATAATGATAGAGAATTATTGAATACTATTAAGGAAAATTACTCAGTTGCTAGACTTGATGGAGTTGAAGATACTATCAAAGAATATACTCTTCCTGATGGCAAAGTTATTTCCATAAATTGTTGTGATGTTATTGAACCATTAATTGTTCCAATGTCAATTGATAAAAAGAATGAAATGCAAGGTATTGCAAAAATGATTGTTGATTGTGTTATGAAATGTCCAATTGACTGTAGAAGTGATTTATTTGGAACAATTAATTTGATTGGAGCTGCTTCTAAGTTAAAGGGAATGGGAACAAGAATTAAAAATGATATTATAAAGATTCTTAAAGACCAAGGAAATAATGCACATGTAAAAGTTAATGTATTTGATAATAGTGAAGTACTTGCATGGTATGGAGCTGCTTGCACAGGTGCTTTATCTTCTATTGTTGAAAGGTATTGTACAAAAGAACAATATGATGAAAATGGTTCATTCTTTGTTTCCCAAATGTTTGCTCGTGAAGGATAACTTTTGAATTAAAATACTTTTTCATTAATTTATTCTCTTATAAAAATAATAAATAAACGAAATAACAATGTTCGTAAATTATTTTCTGTTGATATTGTATAATCGTCTTAATAAATTTAAAGACACTTTTAACTCATTTAACTTTGACACATTGAATTATCTTTTTAAATTGAAATAAAAAAGATGTGATAGACAAAATTTTACCTGTTTATTTGAAAAAATTGAACTTCAAAATACCAAAAAACAAAACTTGTCCATGAAAAGAACAACAAAACCAGAGAAAGGTAAACAAGAAGAAATGAATAAACTAAATAAATTAAAAGAAGAAGTAAGTAAAAGTGAAAATGATATAAAAATGAAGAAAGCAGAATGTGTAAGAATAATGACTGATTATGATATTGAATTAAAATTTCTTAATGCAAAAATACAGTATCAAATTGGTACAGATCAAAATGAATTACAAATGTTAAACGATAAAATAAGAGAATACAAAGAACAAATTAAACAATTAAACGAACAAATAAATAAATTAAATGATAATGCATTATCTCCTTCTTTTATTCAATTAAAAGAAGATGAAGCTGAATTACATAAAGAAATAGAAAAAGTTTGTTCATTAAAATTACTCTATTCATTTGGATGTATTTTATTTATTAATTAGCTCAAAAAAGAAAAATCAGAAAAAGAGCTTCAAAAAAAAGAAAATAAAATGTTATTAAGAGAAATTGATGGAAAATATGAAATTGTTGAAAATGAAGTTTGTTAAAATGATATATTATACCTAAAATGAAAGAATAAAACTTATTTCATTTAGAAATTTAAAATATCTCAAGAAATTCAAAATACTAAACAATGTGTAATGAAACTTGAAAATCTTAAATGTGCTTTAGAAGCAAAAACTAATTGACTCTTACTAATTCATTGAATTATATTCTTTTAACAAAACAGTCTCTCAATTAAATATACTGTTCTGAATTATTTCATAATAATCTCTAACTCTTTTTCTTATGTAGTAATTTTTAATCATTAATTACATATTTCTTATATTATTTAAATGAATTAGTTATTCATTTCACTGTATATGGAACAGTTGCTGTATTTGGAAATCAATACATTGATTTTGCTGATGAAAATAATATTGTATTAAATGGTGTTAATGATGATTCTGGAACATACTGTTCATTATTCCTTGGTATTGTTTATTTTTCACAATCATTCTGTTTTTGGGTATTAGGACAATTCTCTTATTGGCAATATAAACAAACTCTTAATATCATTGTTCAAATCTTTATTGGAGCAATTTGTCTTGCATTAATTTATTTACGAAATGGATGGGTATTATGTGTTTTAGCAATTCCAATTGGTATTATTTCTGGATACGACTTACAATCAAATGTTTTATATTCAATCAATGCAGGTCCTAAAATTAAAGGTGTTATTCTCGGTATGAGTGAGTGTGTTGGTGAATTAACATGTTGTCTTTGTCCATTGTTTGCTGGTTTGATTGCCACACAAACAGATGATAGAAAATGGGCATTATGGTTTGGATTGATATTACAATGTGTTGGAATTGTGTTATGCATCATTACACAAGCCATAACCATCATTCTTGAACGATTTGACAAACAAAAAGAAAGTGATGAAATTGAATTAGGTAATAATGAATATCAAGAACCTACTCCAATTGAAGATGTAGATGTTGATACTAATTTAGTTCATCAAATTGAAATAGAAGATGGAAATGTTTCTGAGTCTTCAGAACTAGACAAAGAAGAAGATACTGATGAAAAGAGTCCTGAAGAAAATGAAAGTGTTCAACCCACTGGTACTCCAGAACAAAAACCTTCTAACGAATAAACAGACATGACATGTCTTTGATTTCTATATTATCTATTTTAATTTTTATTCTTTGATTTTATTCACACATTTGTTTATTTTAGTCATCTCTTATTATTCTTGTTTAATGTAAAGAAATATCATTGTTATTATTTTATTTAATCGAGTATTTTAACTTTATCTTTAATTCATAATGAAATTCAGCAAAGTAATTCTCTCTTATAATTTCATACACCAAAGAACAACCAACTAATAATTAGAGATGAGAATTTATTCATTTTAATTGGTTTTAATTAGTATATGTATTTCTTTACTTTGGTCTTTCAAATGTACAAATTATAATTGTTTCTTTTCATTGACTCTTTTTATTGATAAACTCAGGTAAAACATTCA